CTTCCGATGAATGGCTATCCACATTGTTTGGACTCGAGATTTCCATATATTCCTTCTCACGACTCCCGGCATCGAGTGAATTTTGATGAGTTGATAGTTCCCCATGTTTCTCCAGGTACTCTCTATCAGATCCATCCTCATCTCGTGGTTCGGCATGATTGATATCTTCCAATGCGGCTGCAGGGTCCGAAGGGGCGAATTCTTTCTCGTGACCAGGCGGATCTGCCATGTTGAAGCTTCTTGGTAACAGATGCGTCAAGAAGATATATTGTGTGAGAGATCACAAATCGCAAAACAAAATGTTATCGAGGGGAAACCGTGCATCTTATCAATTATTCGGTCGCCGCCTCCGAATGCGATCAGAGGTTAGCATCTTTCCAATTGGATCTAGACAAGGATATGATAGATAATCTGTGAATTTAACATGGGCAAAAGATGCATGGGAGTACCAGTAGCATGTTTCTTTTTTCCTCCCAGAGTATTAGCGTAATAGATCCATCTATCTATATGCCGATTACCAATACACACACAGCATTTCAAAGAAGGAACCGAAGGAACCTACTCCGGGACCGTAGGTAGGGAAATGAAGGTATGAGTGGAGGTGAGTGAACCAATCGGTGTTTATGAATCCCGAGATAATACCCGAGTTTGTAGATGTAAATGTAAGCAATTAGTCATTGACATGATATAACGTACATGTGAAGGAGGGCCCCGAATGCTCAAGCGGGACGGTCGAAAAACCGAACACAATCTTTCTCTTCCGTAGATCAGTCAATGGAGGATCATTCTTGTATTCTGTCTGTCTATCTGTGTCGCCGAAAGGTATACGAAACAGGTGATAGGAAGGGCTCCACACAAAAGAAGCATTCGTCCAGCTCCATCAAGATCCACCCGCCGTTGAACCTTAGAAAAAGCTAATCCGATGCCGTTCCACTGTTACCTACGGGATTCATTTAATTGAGTTTATTTCGTGGAATGTTTTATTGAACCTTCCATTCCCTTCAAAGTCCAAACTCGTTCGATCTTGATCAATCATCAAATACGAAGTACCGTGCAGTTCGTGAACGGGAGCAAACACGCCGGTCCAAATCTCACCTATGCCGCATCGGTGATCTTCAACATAAGCATTTCTCTAGCATTTCCTCTGTGGAAACTCTAACCTAAAGTGGCTGAATGCATCCGCTCTGTTTGATATACACGTCTGCTTACTCGACGCCTCTTCAAACCGGACAACTGACAAGACCGTCTCTTCCCCAGATTATCAATGTCGGGCATCGGGACCTCAAACTTCCATCCCAAGTGCCTAGATCAGCCAAGCATCTTCAATGCATCAAATACTTGACCCATCGATTTCCTTCATTATGTTGTATGACCGGTTGATTCCCTTCATCTGACACTTTAAGATACACAATTTCGTCTTGTCCGTGTGAAACAAAAGAAGAAAAGAAGACAAACACAATATACGGCACCACGTGATACATACGGCCCGGAGCTTCATTCTCTCCTTCATCGCCTTCCTAACTCGGAGATCTAGAGATTAACCATTCAAGAATGTATGAATTAATAATCCTCTTTCACACAAGAAGCGGTGAATGTCATTGATTCGGATGGATTTAAGATATCTCCTTAGAACGCCCCGCTTGTACATCTTCGTCTCTTCACCGTCCAATCAACAAAGAGCTTGTTTGCTTTTCATACCAGATTGTACGTGTCAGATGTTTGATATATCGGGAAAGTAGTTCATGGTCTCAAATATTCCTTTATGACAGATGTTGATGGCACCACGCCGTTCAAAATGATCACTGCAGGGCTCTTGTTTGTTACATCTAGCGAGCGGGCGCTGTATTCGTACCGAAAAGAGTACGAAGTAACCATCACGTCTCTGCAAGTGGAGTCCAATCATGTTTTGAGTAGGGTTGTCCCGGCATCCAATTCAACATTGCACGAGATAAGCTTTGCGAGATTCATCTTATCTAATGTGTTTGTTTATTGATCAATTTAGCTACCTGGTAATTTATTCAACGATCATTTACCTACAACTCTAAGCCGATGACCTAAAAGATCGTTCAAAACACTTCCCACTTTCAATCAATCTAATAAACATCAACGTTTCAATCTAATCATCATTCAGACCCAAAGCCTCCCTTCTAGACTTTGCTCCCTCTTCATAGTAAGGTTTTTCTGCCAAACTAGTAACTCTCGTCCCATGTCTCTCTTCTGTTCCCTCATAGTCCCAGCTCGCGTTATGAATCGTACTTCTGTTATCCTGTTCATCATCATTAGCATCTATTCGCTTATTTCTTCTTCATTTCCAATATTGATTTCAGTTGGAATGAGACTAATAAGTCCTCTGAAAGAACTTACCCAAATAGCACTCGTCCCGGCGGTCCATCTGAATCTGACTTGGATATCCACATTCTTTTCAAAAACATCGTACAGATATCCCAAAATCAAATCACTCTCCGCCTTGTCCAATCCGACAATCGATTTTGTCATTGCCCTATTCACCCACAATGTTTTCCATCCTGTCACTGGATGTACACGCACAATAGGATGCACTCGTTCAATATGTTTTGGTCCAGCAGTTGGATCATCTCGATCGAGGTACGTATGCGCCGAAACATATATGGCCTGTCTCCCATCAATGATTTTGCGGAATTCGGGAGAAAGTTTACTGTAAGCTGCATATCCCGATGCCCAAAGTGTGTCGCCTCCAACTTCTGGCACGGTATCGTTGTGCAAGTGGGTTAATCCTGCGGGATGAAGCTCGTGCACCAAATCTCTTTATTATTTGCATGTCAGTGATGTGTCCTTACAATAGCCTTGAGTGAGTCAAGAGAAGACTGAAGGAAACTTACGTATGCCATCGACTCGCGCCTCCTGGATTTCTGAAATCGGTTTTTCTTGAAGTTTCGCTGGCTTGCAAGGCTGGCCACATCACCGACACACCAGGAAGTCCTGGTACATGGGGAACTTGTGGCTATACATCAAATCATCAGCTCACATCCTATCTCCATTTTCACCGTCATAATCCAGAACATAATGCAAACATACATGAACCTCAACTTCACCCCACCAAGTCCCCAAATCCCTTTGTACTTTTGGACTCAGTCCTTCCTGACCCCTCAAGAAGACCACACTCCTCTCTGCAACCAACAATGCCAATTCATCTTTCTGTTCATCTGTTAACTCATCGAGACGAATGCCACTTATTTCCGTTCCGATATTCTTAGTCAAATCAATTATCTTTCCGTTATTCTTGTGGATAGTATCGAACAAATTTTTCTTTGATTTATCGGCTCGAGATCCGGCATCGTGGTGTTCTCGTGGTGTGTTGCGGATGGCGAGGACGTCTTGGACTATTGTGGAAGGGAAGATTAGTTGGGTTCGTTATTCTACATAGTGGGTGAAGATAAAGAATGGATACATACGATATAAAGGACGCCCTGGACGAGTAGGATATCCGTCTGAGAGATCGATTCCAGCCTTTTCTAATCTTGCCCGTGCGTTTGAGGGAAGAGGTAAGGTGGCTTTGGAAGGGGAAGCAAGATCTTTGATCGCGGTTGAGGGGTGAATGGCAAGATCTTGGGTTGCTGATGGAGCCATGATTTGTGCTGCCTAGTACTTTATTGTAGTATGCCGAATTTTAGAAGGAGAAGATATATTAATTTATATACTAATCACAAGAATTTCTGATACACATAAGGGACACCCAAATTATATATGCATAGCGGATTCCCCAATCTTCAACCCGGTACGATATAAATACATCTAACATCATCAATACCTAGATATTGTATCATCAACTCTTATCATTCACTCCGTTGTTTCAAAGTGATTATCAAAATCACATCATATATCCCAGGGCCATCTCACCAATCTCCATCGGATATTGTCTACCCCTCATGCAGCACGCGATTTACCCCGCATGTTTGTCTATATGCATCGTGTTTCGAAGACTTTTTATAGGTTGTGAGGTTTGTTTATCGTGGGAGTTGTGGAGTTGTCGTATGTATGATTGGAAATGCAAGTGTGAGGGATGCAATGGAAATGCGATTATTAGAAATCGGATTGGGGGAGTTGAGATGGATGAGATGGGCTGGGATTACTTCGGGGATAGTTCTGGTACTTGCATCGACGCTTTCCTTCCAACACATAATCAAAAGAATCTCAACTTTTGCAGAGATGGTTTGTTGATATTGAGTTGAGTATGGACTATGTGTGAAATTCAACGATATTGTTACGTCCATCAGGGCTGAAATCTATTGGCATTCAAAAGAAAAATCCAGATTCTGTGTTGGTTTAATGGTTAGAAAAAAGGGCCTTTCGAGGACGTCTGATTTCCTCATTGTCATGCGTTTGTTGGGTTGTGTTATTCCAAGTGGACCTTCTGACTATTCTTATATTCCACGCATCTGCTATGCTGCCATGCGAGGGATCTAATAAACCACACTCCGAAATCAAACATACCTAGCTCTGGGTGAAGGGCACTGTTCAGTGAACAAATTCAAGCTTTATCATTGGAAAGATCTTGTGTGCAAACAAGTTGGTGATCTAGAAAGATACTGTTAGATATCCTTTAAGTTTTTTTGTTCAGAATCTAGTAAGAGGTTTGATGTTGACGAGCGAATACTCTTTAAGCTTGTATTCTAGTGTACGCTTTGATTTCCATTGTTCGTAATGCATTTACTGTCAGTGCAAGAGCTATGATTATAGTCTAGATAGAGAAAGTGTGACATTTGAAGCAGAATGGCAACCATGATACATCAAATATTCAACCCGGAAGGCGCAGAGGATTTCACTCCTTACCACTTCTATACCTCTAGATTTTGCACTTCCCTCACCCCAAAACACAGTGTTTTTTCAACAGATTTTTGGCCATACTCTTATTCGAAAATATCTTAGATTCTCCAAACTAGTTTGAGAGAGTCGGAAACAGCATTCTTACATTCATAACATCTGAAAACATTTGAATTCAAGCCACCTTCCTAACTTTTGATATGGCTGACAACATTCGACCTTTCGTACAACAAGCACTACCTCTCACTCCAATCGTCATGTCTCAAACACGTCGTCAAATGGTGCCAGATAAAGATATTCGCTTTCCCAAGGTTCTAGCAGCTTTGCAAAAATGGAAAACGGATTATGAAGACGAAGGAGAGACCTGTCCTATTTGTTTCGAGAGCTGTGCGGGATTCCCATCTTTACGTACATACGTCTACACAATCATGCTGACGAGTTTCTGCAGTCAAAGAAGTCAAAGTTGATGCAGATAGGAATGATCCTTGTTCCGATCCCTTGGAATTTAATGGCGGGCATGAAGGTTCCATAGTCGTCACGCCTTGCAATCATAAATTTGGGTATCTCTGTTTGGGAAGTTGGCTTGTTCAGAAGGATAATTGTCCTATGTGCCGTAATATTATCCTCCCTCTTGATCCGCCACAGTCGGCCCATCGTGCTCAACATAGACAGCGCTCTTACTCCACCGAGTCGCAGAGTACCCCAGCAGATAGGCAATTTATGGCACCTACTCCTATAGCTCGATCAATATCTCTTAACAGTATCGTAATCACTACTCCATTTGAACTACAAAGATGGAATGCTAGATTCGGTCATTTGAACAATCACTTGGACGAAGCTGAAAACGTAGCCGCCGGGGAAATCACTTCGGCTATTGTTCGTTTGCCTCCTGTTAGAGCTAGTACTACTACTCATGGTCACCCAACCACACCTACTTCTACTGCAGTTGAGCCGGATTTTATACGCCGCACTTATGATGCCAACATCATCAATTACGACTTGACACATCCACCCAGAAATAATCGAACTTCTCACCTAAATCGACCATCAATTGATCCTTCATGGCGTAACTGGGATTACACTAGTCGTTACAGTTTAAGAGAGGCTAGGAGACCGAGAAGAATCACCAACTCCGTAGCTGCAGCGGTAGGAGTGTCCGCAGGAATAGGAACTGTGATTGGAATGCCAAGAGCAGAAAGAAGAGCGCCAACGGGCAGAGATAATAACACTTCAAGTAGAACTGAGTCGGATAATGATTTTTCGATCGTTAGAGCAATGGGTCACGCGATGGGCTTGGGAACGGTAGTTGGAATGCCAAGAGCAGAGTGGAGAAGTACCATGAGACCACTGTCACCATTGGGTGATTTGAGGAGACTACGGTTGTCAAGAAGTGGATCGGCAAATGATAGTAGTACCGAGACTCTACTCACTGCAAGGAGCAGAGAAACGAGTGTGGATGAGGATTTGCAAAGATTGCCGGGGTTGGCTAGTAGCATGTGGGCTCGCACTTGGGGATGAGTTTGGAATGTCTTGTGTTATATTGACTCAATAAGCGGGCTTGGAATTGTAGATGTTGAGGATACTTTGTTTGCAGCATGTAAAAGTAGGATGATTGGAATCTTTAGCGAGCGTCACCCTAGGTTGTATCCATAAATCAAAGTTCTAGATTAGACTCGATAATAAAGCGTTTATATATATATATATATATGTATATATACAAAGAATAAATGATTTTGTGAGTTACAACCAATAATTGCCCCAGGCATTTTTGGTATTCAATTTTCCGTATCAGAATCAATCTCATATCCAAACCGTAAGATTGTTCAAATATCTCACACCCACCTCTTCATCCACATGCTTAAACATAAGCCACAACAACGCTGTCCTCGGTAACCGACGAACTCGTCAAGATCTCATTCGAAGTCGTCTCAATATCCATGATATTCGCACCGGTGGGACCCACCTGTTTTCCCTCCTTAGTAGCCGCATACGCATTACTAAACGTTACATTTCCATAGTTTGCCAATCCGATGGTCGAGCCATCGATGCTCAAATCCTCCATAATCCACTCCGCAGCCTGACCACACAATTGATCCGTCGACGTCACGGTCTTCGTCTCCGATTTCCCGGTCGATTTATTTTCCATCGTGACGGTTCCCTCTGTGAAGGACGAGTAGGTGAGATTCACGGCGATGGTGTCACCGGCGGTGACGCTGAACGAAAATCCGAGAGTGTCCGCGGGATACCACTCGTACCAGGCGTCGTAGGAAAGTTTTCCGGAACTATCGATCGAGGCGTCGACGCCGGCTTGCCAGAGTCCCGCACACTCGCTGCTCTGCTCGTACCCGTCGATGCCGACCCAGGAGGAGACGGTCCAGATTTCGGCGGAGGTTTCGCCGCGTGTGGGTTTTGTGGGAATGGGCACCACGAATTCCGTGTACACTCCGGTGTAGATTGTGGAGCCGCCGTCGTCGAGAACGGCGCCGGCCCAGGAGATGTTGTATTCGTCGTCGGCGTGCGCGGTGGCTGCGGGGGCGGAGGCGGATGTTGTGGAGGAACTGGCAATGTTGATGACGGCAGATGAGGCGATGGAAGTAGCGGCGCTAGATGCAATAGGTGTTGCAACGATTGAAGCGGCTACAGCACTAGAAGATTGTCTGGAGCCGGCAGCACCGTAGCTACCGGTGGGTCGTGCCCGACCACCTTGTTGACCTCCAAATCCTCCTGGGTAGCCAGCGCTGGGTTGGGCAAATCCTCCTGCTTTTTGACTTTTTTGGAGGGTGTTGCCGCGGTGACCGCGTGCTTGATTGGGACGGGAGGGAGCGGCGAGGGAGGAAGCGATGAGGCCGCTGAGGGCAATTGTAGTTGTGAATTTCATTTTGTTGGAAAGGAGTAAATTGTGTATGAATATCAAGAAGTTGATCAAAAGTTCTGATAGATAGATGTGCAGAAGAGAGAGAGATCGTGTGTTGATGTGAAAGCGAGCAAAAATGAACAAATGAATGAATGTAAAGACGAACTGTACTCAAAACGAATGAATGCAAACCTGTGCAAATACTTCCAAAACTATTCGGACAAGAAGATGGGGAGAACTAAAGCTCTTATATAGATGCTTCCACAAACAATTGATCCATCACAACACGACATCAACCCGGTGAATGATTTCCACAGCCCTGTTGACCCCAAATAAACGACGATCCCATCATTCCCGACATTCTCCTCCCCAGTAGCATGTCCACCAATGATTCGCATAGCTACATTGACACCGAGGAAAGAATCCTGGAATCCTTTTCCTGGGGTAAGGTAATGCTTATTTCACATAAATTGTTTCTATGTTTCAGGATCCTGAAGGGGATATTATGGGGCCGGCACTACGTATGGGTTTATGCTATTTCTCCACTCTCGGGCAGAGGAAGGAAAGGCTTGATTTGTTTTTCATATGGCGTGCTGCTAGGGAGGTACGGGTAGGTAGGGGTGATGATGATGGTGCCGAGGAATTAGGAGATTTACGACGAGTGATATGGTGTGAAAGGATTAAGGGAGGAATCTGCTGAATATAGATTGTTTTGCAATTGGTGTTGATGGTTATTTTTTGGATGCTTGGACCTGGGTTCTATGATGGGGAATGTATCTAATCTCAAGATTTCCATAAAGAAAGAATACTTGCTATTTTCTACAACACAATCAATATCATTAGTACGACATCAGTACCAATATAAAAAGGTAGAAAATCGAATCATATCACCTGATCCAATTCATTCGGATGAACATCGCCAGAACGGAAACGCCGAATCCCATTAAAGTAAGGTTTACTCACCCAGTAAAGGACTAATGAGTCTGGGTTCTAGATCACATCATGTCCATCAACAAACACGCGAGTGACATGCTCGTAGAGAAAATTCATTCTGATTTGATTAACAATTTGAACACGAGCGTTTCGAATTAGATAATGATAATGAGCTTTATTATATTGATTGCTGTAGATGTGATTACAAGTATCGACCAGTCCATATTCCATGTACGGAGATTTCGGATGTTTTTTAACAGTCTCATTTGGATTTTGCATATCGAAATTTCTATTCTGGGTTGATGTACAAAGTACTTTAATTGATCTGCTCGGTAAGTATATCAAGCACTATGAGACCCATTTTGCAATTTTGTATTCTGGAGCACAATCTTCTGGACCAGACTTAGAAGTCTATGATTTATATTTTGCACGTTGCGAATGCTTCGGAACATTCTTTAACGTTCAATCTTTACACAGCCCGTACGAAATGAAAATCGTAAATGTGTTTTCTGCCTTCGGGATTAGTAGCATTACCTTTAGTGCACACTCACCCTCTTTAACATCCTCTATAGGTCTAATCCAAAAGTCTAGCTTTCTCTATTCGCATCTATGCCTTTAGTTCTTTTGCGAGAGCCGTTCGTTCATCCTCCGCGAAGCCAATCGTCGTCAAATAATTCCCAACACCACCATAAGTGTCCTCCAGATACTCATAGATCTTCTTGATGAAATCCACAGGACATCCAGCAAAATCATCACTCAGGCCAATCTCATGGATTTCCTTCAATCGACTCTCTCTTTCAGGAAGTAATTTCTCTTCACTCATGAGATAATCATGTGATATGGCCTCTATGGGTATCTCGAGGATGAATAGGATCAAGGCGATGGTAAGTCCAGTACGATCTTTTCCTTGGGTACAATGGACAAGAGTTGGATAATTTTCCGGGGAGCAGTATGTCCTGAGAACCTGGGATGTGTTAGATGTGTTGTTTCATAAAAGGCTGATAATGGTTTACTGAAGCAAGTTCCGGACCACAATGATGTATCGTGTCGTATCCCAATCCTATAAGCCCTCTGGGTTGCAAGACTTGTCGCCCTAGAATCCCGATGGCCTCCAAACGGTATCCCAAACCCATCAGACCGATCAATTTTCTACATGTCTTGGTCAGCTCCCAATATCGAACAAGACAAGTTAAGACTTACATGATACTATAAGGTGATAATTGCCATACTAAACTTCTCTCAAACCCTTTTCCATTTACGTTGATCTCAAGATACTTGATTCCTGGTATCTTCATCGATTCATTTAGTGCACTGTTTGATTCTATGAGAGCAGGGTCTCTCATATCTGCTACCCGCTTCTTTGCTTGCTTATCATGTTCTGTTCTGCGATACTTATGGTTAGATGGGATAGATAGTTGATAGCTGGATGTCTTACACTGTTCGCAGGTCCAATATGGTTTTGATGCCATAATGATCTTTGATACGCTGCCTGTCTGCCATCGTAGCATCATCTACCAGGTAAACTCGTTAACATAATTCGTTTTGCCCAAAGTCCACCACTCTGGATGGGCCAATGTCCTGGATATGGCATGAATGGCCCCACAGCCTGGCGAACATGTACACACCTGGCCTTGCAGAGCGATATATTCGTCCTTCTTTGATAAGTCTTGGGGATAACAATCAGCCTTAATCAATTGATGGTCTTTATGGGGGTAGGTACATACTTGCGCCCCAAGAAATCGTTGATGGTTTTCCCAACATCACGGAAATTCAAAATATTATTAAACTGCCCATCATACATATTTTTTGCTTGTGAGTCCATTGTCAACTTTGGTGGACCGATAAAGTGTTGAGCACCACGTGGGATACTACAGTGTTATGGTTGACGGTAAGGTCTGGATGATGACTTCGCAGAGGAAGGAAGATATCGTGTTTGGTATTGTAATATTGTAATATTGTAATATTGAGTAGATCGTTACTTCCAATACTTCTGGATGAAAACAGAGAAAAGGTGTAGATTGTGGAATAGAGACAATGCAAAAGGTTCGATTTCGTTGGAGAAGGTTCTTCAATTCACAGGAGAGGTTTTGGAATGTATGATTGATGTAGTCGTGTTGAAAGATGTGAAATGAGTACAATCACCACGGCATTGATGAGGTTATTATTTCAAGCGACAACGATATCATAAAACAAGGAAACGACGTGAAAGGTTATGTGCGTCGGTGTGGTCGGTACTAGTACTTGCACTTTAAATCCCTGCTGGAGATCATGAAAGAGATCCTCAATAAAAAAGAGGGAAAAACAAACATTCTGCATCATCTCTGGGGAAATACGATAAATCAAGAGCCATAACCCCAGTTGTACATCAATATAATACATACACATATACGCATCTCTACCGACTTTCCTTGATGGATTCCTCTATAGTTCATGATGCTTTGATTATCCAAAGTCTTTTCTTATCGGAGCAGCGACGGCAAGCTCAACCTTATCCTTCACCAAGATTGCGATGAACAGTCTGGGCATTCGAATTGATTATGCCGACCTATCGACCTATCGGCATTCACTCACTCTGAATTTTGGTGTGGCTGGACGCAAAACTACGTCATGTTCGTTCAATAATTCCCTCTTCTTGAGATTCGAGAAGAGCTTGATTTCTTGCTTGCTTGCTTGCTTGCTTGCTTGCTTTGATCGATGATTAAGAGAACTCAGCTACCACTGATATCTGAATCCTGAAATGGAACAATTATAAACGATGATGAAAAAACTAGACGATACAAAGTTAGATACGATATCATAGTACACGGAATAAAGCGATCAGAGCAATACCGGTATTGTGCCAGAAATTCTACCTGCCGGTATACTAAAGTGTCCAAGTTTACCGCGTGTGTCTCTAGCAAGCTCTTCCTAGCTATCGTTGTCCAACTTCACGTCAAGAAACGACAGAAACGACAGAAACGACAGTTCCAAGATATACATCCGTCAACACTAATTAATTCCGTTTCGATTCGTTTCATCCATTATTCAACCTTCTCAGAGGCTTTGTTTGAGCTTAATGTCATAGCAGGAAGCCAGTATCGTTTCTGTCAGCTTGCATTCCTGAGAACAAATCATACCTACCAGGAGAACAAAGAAGGAGGGAAACTATTGTGTAATCATGCCGACTAGTAATAATCATGGTGCGTCTAAGCAGTCTTTGATTCCTCATCTGCATGTATACTAATCTGTGCTACAGCTACAGGCATTGAAACCAATGGAATATCAGTTGAAAGCAAATCGCACCCAACTCGAACAAGCTCCAACAAATTAGAGGATCAAGCTGCCACAGCAGCTCTTTACGTGACAAATCAAAATAATCAAACGCCCAAGACGGGTTATGAATTTCTGGACAGCGACAATAAATTGTCGTCTGCAGGTAATTATTTGATTTCACTTTGTACAATATGACCGCATCGCTAACAGTCTTTCCGAATAGGTGCAGCAGCATCCCTCAAATACGCGAAGCCCCGAGATTTACCAAGTTACCCCTCCACCGGATTGAACAAGAGTCAGTCGGCAGCTGGAGCAGCAGCATCTTTGGGTTGGCAGAACCAAAAGACTTTCGAACATTGGAAACCAGATCCGTCCGCTGCGGCGTCTGCTGCTGCGATGTTAGCTAAGGATTACAAAATGAAGCCCATGTGGCAGCCAGAAGCAAGTGCGCATGGCGCAAAAGCAGCTTTGTTGGCTCATAAAGCCAATAAAGGTGTCGAATTGTGGCAACCGGAGCCTACCGCATGGGGAAATACTGCCGCCACTCAAGCTATGAAGAAGGGGAACACATTATCACCGCAATTGGATTATGGGCACACTGCTGTTGGAAGACAGGGTTCCCTTTTGGCCGCGACTGGTGCTATGGCTAGCAGCAGGAAACGTGCAAATTCGACACCAGTGAAGACTCAAAGACCCGAAACCTATCCTGACGAAGCCAATGCTGCCAGTAATGCTTTGAGAGCTGCAAAGTCTGTTCACAAATCTCAAATCGGTGCTGGAAAAGCTACCAATACTGGTCAAACAAATACACCCAGTAATGCCATGAAAGCTGCAGTCGCTGTTCATAGATCCAACACTGTTCTAAAACCCAATACCTTCGAAAAGAGTGTTGGATCAGTACCATTCACAACAATGCCGCGAGAAATGTATACGTCTCAGCCACCTGTCGACCAATTTGAACAGGAGCTGCCCAAAGACCAAAATCGTGAAGATGTCCTTAAAGCCTCAGCAATTGCCATGGCAAAAAAAATGTACAACCAACAGCAGAAACAAAGTGCTGCTACTTCCAATGCGCAATCTGGTGCGGCTGCAGCACACGGCCAGCGAAGACTTTCTATAGATAGCGATGATGAACCTACACCGATGCGTTTTGATAATCTCCAAGCAAGAGCACAGCAGCTCACCAATGAGTCGGTGGCGAGAATGACAACCGAGGATATTCGAAATCGTGAATATCGAGATTATTATGGAGCTACTCCAAGTATATCTTCAAAGTTATCTAAGCGTGGTCGGACAAGACGTCGGGCTTCCAGTTATGATGAGGATCGCCATCAGTCTGACAAAATCCGAGCTCAGATGAATTTATTCTCAAGCAATATCTCTAAAGTAGACGAAGAAAAGCGACAACGAGATCGCGATGCTTTACATGCTGCAGCTAAGCGCAATGTTAATAAGGATATTCACGAGATGGATAAACAAGTATTTAAAAATACTGGCAAAGTTGCTCCATCTCTACTCAACGAATGGGAGCTGAAAGCACATGAAGCTGCTCAAGCCCAGAGTAAAGCTAGAATGGAGAATTTTGGCAAAGTCGATATTGGTGGTGGAAAATTTGTCGATCAAAGTGTGATTGATGCTGCTGCCGCTAAAATAATCCAGCCACAATTGGAGGAAATCAACACAAAGGCAGAAGCTAAGAGGTTTCGAGAGGCTGAATTGAAACTTGAGGAAGAGACTCGAAAGAGAAAATCGCAAGAGATTAAGATGAGAGAGAAAGAGGAGAAAGAAATCACCAAGAAATTGAAGCGTAAGTTGTTCTTGATTAAAAAATCGGTGAATTTACATAAACTCATATATTATATAGAACAAGAAAAAGACGAAGAGAAAGAGCGCAAAGCTGATGAGAAGGCCGCTCTAAAGGAACGTCGTAAATCAACCACCAAATCCGAACCAGGTGCTCCAGTTTCAAAAACCTCACCCACCAGCGTACCTGGCGAATCTGAACGTCCCACTACGGCTCCAGCTCCAGTACCTATTCGTACTTCTATAGATGGGAATAGTACTCATGTATCTGGAGCTACAGATGATCCACACACAAGTCAACAGGTTTCATCCAATGCCCCATCACCAACTTCTGAGAGTGGTTCCAAGGTGAAGAATTGGCTTAAGTCGAAAATGGGAAGGATATCTGGTCGTCACTCAAAATCTTTATCAGAATCTAATGCTATTAAAGATGAGAAAGGATTTGTGGGTGGTCATACCTACACAGGTGCAAGTGTTAATAATAGTACGACATCTCTTAGTCGACAAAGTATAAGGGACGTTGCAAATGCCACCGCTCTTGTCCCCGGAACCAATCCCACTGTTGCTCCTACTCAACAACCAGAAGAGTTTGAAAGAGTAGGCAGAAGTAAAGTAAGACCAGGAGATGATGTGAGTAGCCTTAGCGAATTTAGTGACAAAGCAAAGGGCAGAGAAGACATTACAAGTGGCGACGATGATGATGATGACTTTCAGGAGGCAAGAGACAACTTTAATGACGAGTTGGCGCCGCCTAGACCATTCTCATCTCACGGAGCAGTCAGTACGAGTCCGGGTAGAGCCCCTAGATTTCATGAGGAGATCTAAAAATAGAGTTGTATCAATATTTATATAATTTCGGTGGGCTCTGGGGAATCGGTTCGGAGCTTTCGGTGATCGGGATATGGGATTATGCAACAAGGTTCTTTCTCTTCTTCTTTTTTTTTTCTTTCCATGTTGATACGGTATTTGAAAACCGGGATGATCTTATGATATTTCATCCTCCTACGCGAGGCAATGGAGAGGAGGAAGGTAGGCTCAAGAAGGGAAAGCAATATGGCTTACTTAATAACCGTTTTGTTTTTTTTTGTTTGGGTTTTGGGTCAAGTTACTTGGGTTTGTACAGTACATATGCGGACTAAATATGGAAACTGGGAGCAGTGGCATGATTGGAATGGAGATAGGGATGAGAAAAGGGTGATCAAAAAGGGGAGGCGGAGGGAAATCTGAAGTAAAGTAGTGAGATTTTGTTATTGATGAAGTTTGTTAATCCGAAGGTTTTCTCATGCAGTGGAATTGATGGATTGGGAAAGTCGGCGTGATGTATATGTGTTGTTACGAAAGCCACGTCTTGGTATAGAAAGGGTAAGGAAAGCTCAATTTGTGAGTGTTATTATTTCTTCATGTGAGATACATGTGAGAAATTGTTGTTGGATTAAAAGTGGTCTGCTCTTTTATGTAGATGGTTGAAGATGATTGAGATAGTATTTGAGGCTTTAGTGAGCTGGTAATAATAGATAACTACATACATGCATATATATTTTCTTTGGATCTTAATAACAATTTCTATTTCGTGTTCTTTTCTTTTATTGTGTTGTTGTTATTGCTATTCGTTTATTGGGAGATCATTTAGTAGTATAGTGATTATGGGGGTTGTTGTGGATGTAGATATACGGGACGATGGTCTTGACTCTTGATCTTCACACACACACACGTGGATATTGGATTGGATTGGATTTGGTGGGCGACGAGTGTCGCGAGGTAATGGAGTTTGTAGCTTTATCCTGCTGCGGTGAGAAGAGTGGGATGGATTGATGGGGGGATTTATTAGAAGCTTGATGGTTTGTTGGAGAGGGTGGTGGGTGGTGGGTGGTGTTGGGGGTTCTTTGAGTAATGGAAATGTTTGTGAGGAAGATCATCTGGCATGTTTTGATATAGAAGCATGCAAATAGATGCAGCTCTGGTTCTCTGCTAGACGCAAGATATATTTCGAAGGATTTTTTGAGGCGGAATGGACTTTTGCCTGTGAGGGTAAGAGGTATAAGCAGTGGTGTAGCTATATAGTGATGTGCATACGAAATTCCCGCTTACAAGCCAGAACTGGTGATTAACAATACGAGCATCTATCAAATCGGCTTGTAGAAAGTTCAGACAAGAGGCGTAGTACATGGCTCACCCTAAGAAAAGTAGCATTCATTGAATCAATCAATCTGTATGCTTGAACAACGTGACATGATTCAGATGTGATGGCTTAACAGTGGTGCGATGCCTGTTCGCATTGTATATCAATGTCCGTCGAATGTCGTTGTATTTTTATGTTTCTTGGTTGAATAGCGAAAATTGCTGCATACTGTCTTATATGTAGTTTGGCATACCTGTGCGTGAGAAATCTTGTAGGGGCCCTTTTTGGTATGCAAGATCGGGACCGAACGCTGAATTTTCTATCAACCTGGTTGAGGGTGATTCCATAATATTCATGTTCTCCCCGCAGTGTTATGCAATTGGGCAAGCTGAGATTCAAAATTTCGAGTTCTTTTACTTATATTAATTTAGTCAATATTGTTGTTGACTAACTAACATGTTACTGCCAGGTTGTATGCCCGTCTATTTAAGTCGATTGGGAAGAGCTAGGCAACGTTACTTGAAGATAAACAAACATCAATAGACTAGTATCACATTGTTTAACAGAACTAATCGTCTAATCCGGGGTGGGAAACCCTTCGACATCTAGATCGCAAGCTGTCATGGCACGGAACGGCACGACACTTCTGCGCCACTAATATGCTCACATTTTAATGGAGACTGCTGACGGATAACGGGCCGAAGGAGTGCTCCAATTGCCTACTATTGAGCGAGATATTGATATGTGGACCAAAGTCTGCACGAAATCAAACGATCTTAATAGCGAATTGTCCGCTGAGATTTATGATAAGCTTTTGATGACACAAGACAGCAGTTTATATTCGGTAAAGAAGAGGAAATGCTGAATTAGAGGGCTTGAGGTTTTGCGTATGATGTGACGGCCCTCAATTGATATACTTTTAATCGGACCAATGACAATACAAGATGTCAGTCATTCTTTACAAATATTGTTCACAAATATCGGTTGATATGGGATTTGGTATGTTTGAATGAGATCAATTACGTGGATTCGGAGTGACAATCCTACATTGATGAGGTATTAATACTATGAGGCAACACGTATAATTGGTCTTTAATAGCTAGAGGAGAAGTTTGAAGATCGCGGCTGTGATTGTTAGCGACTCGCGAGTATTTATGAGATACCGATACAAAGGTGTTTCTAATCTTGTTTCAAGATAGCCTCAAACAAGAACCCACTTCCAGGTCTGGCCACTTTGGGCCTCCAAATCTTCACCAAATTGAAACCTTCACTTTCCAGGAGAGCTCTGAACTGCTTGATTGTACGGTCAGTCGCAGCAAACAAGCTCATCATAAGAAAGTCGAGTTTGACTTGGTATAAACCAGCGTTGGTATCAGGAACGGCATTCTCACTCAAGAGTAGAATGGAATCTTTGCTCATGGCATTACGAATGTGCGACAAAATTGTCCTGCATTCTGCATCTGGCCAATCATGAAGAATGGTGCCGAGGAAGTAAAACTTAGCACCCTTAGCAGTCTCGGGCTGTGGCTCGAGGAAACTATGAACGACGCGTTCGATAGTAGGATCCAGCTCTTGGATACTGGAGATGACCTCAGGAAGATCCTCAAGTACGAGACGACCGGGAAGTTCTGGAAACTTGGCATGGAAATCGTTGAGATTAATTCCTATGTTTCCACCAACGTCAACCATAAGAGGAGCTTTCTCATCAACAGCTGTCTCGATTTTGGATGCGACAGGGTAGTAATCGTACCAAGGCTCACCGCGATCCATACGTTGCAATATCATGGCAGTATTGAAAGCGACAGCTTGCTCGGGCTCTGTCTTCAACCAGTCGTAGTACTGAAGTTTTGTATTCATGGCATATTGAAATGGCCCATCGTTGGTGTTCTCTGGATTTTGGTACTTGGTTTTCTTCAGGTATTCTGGAATCTTCATGAGAACTTCATTGGCTGTGACACTATCCAGCATAGAGTCAGCTTTTGCATGGGAATACGGTCGTACTAATGATCACTCACATGTGAAGTACAGCGTTTGGCAGTGGTGAAGCATCAGCGAAAGCCGGTGCAAATGGTCCATTTGCATATTTGTCTTCTGCAACTTCTTTGAAGAGACCCATAGCAGCCAAAAGCTTCATGACTCTGCTTACCAGCAGCGGCGCGGCTCCCGTCCTCTGGGCAACCTCAGAGGCTGTTAACTCGCCTGTACCAATAGCTGCCATGGTATTGAAGATGCCACTTTCGATCCCAATTCGAAGACCAACTTGTTCATGTGCCTAGAATAATGAGCGGAATGTCAATAGTTAATGTGTGTGAGGCTTACACCAAAGATAACCCGAGTTGTGAAATCAATCGGTGCCTCGACTACATTTCTGAGCTTTTCGAGACTGGCCAAAAGAGTTACTCGTTCTGCTTCACTGACAGCATCAGGAGCAGGAGGGTTTTCAACCACTTCGTTGATCTGCTTGATAAGATCGGCAACGGCCATTTTGTTAATTGACAACTGAGATAAGTTTAATGATGATGAGTTTTTGGAGTCTCTGAATGAAAAAATGTACAGGACGGGGTACAGTAGATTGTGATATAAGCAGATTTCAGCTGTGGACTGGATTGGATAAAGTTACCAATTGCCTCGAAAACCAACTTGTTGTGCTCAAAACCCGATCTAATTACAGCAATCAGTTTTCTTACTAGTATTGCTCGTATTTCGTATATTGGTCCGTATGGTGGTGCGTATCAATATTTTCGAAATTATTCATGTAGGTTATATCGATTTATATATCACTAAAAATATTCAATATAGAAGTAATATTGAATATCAGTAGGAGTAATATAATCCCTTTTTACATATACGAGATATTGTATTAAAGGCTTCATATATGCCACTATTACACTACCGTATATTAGTACAAACACTGACAGCAATAGAGCTGCAGAAAGTAAGAGGATAGGGGATTCTCTATAATTTCGTAAGCTGCAGCGAGCTAACTGTGCTTCATGCCTGATTCATGTTCTTCTGATCCACAATACACCAGACTGTGTCTCATGTAAGCCATTACCAACAAACACGACTGCGCCGTACAGGTTAACTTGAGGATATCTGCAGTCAGAATCAGATGAAGAGCTTTTATGTGATTGCAATGCAGACCGTAACGTTCACTGCGCAGTATGTCGTTATAGCTTTCGAAAGTCCAAGGTGAGAAAGATATGATCCACAGAGTATGGATTAGAACTCAGAAGTAACCTGGATTGATGATGCAAGGCATACTGCTACAGTTCCCATCACCCAACTACATACAGTTTTTTTCTTCAAAATTGAATGATTTTTATATCCAAATGTAGTCCTATATCAGGAGAATACAATGAATTTTTGCAGAATTCAGAATTCAGAAAATATCTTGTGTGTAGTTGGGTGACAAGAACTGTAATTACCCAGAGCAACACGAGGTGATAAGTAAGAAATTGATATGCACTCTCATTCACAACCACATACTTCGTCTCATTGCAAATTCTGTACCATAAGCCTCGGAATATCCAACACGAATCTCACCTCAAGGCGGCTCACGGACATGGTTGGGGCTGGAAGACATGGAACTAGACTCACTCTTATTCTATCAGACTTGAAAACATCAAGGAATTTTGAAGATGATTGGACGAATCTTGGATGTGAAAATTCTGAGAGGTATTTCTTACCATTGAGATTACATTTCTTTACAAGAACCGATGGAAAACACAAGGTTCAGAACATGAGGGCATTCAGACTATTATCTAATGGCTAGCTAGGAAAGAATCTACGTAATTGAAGCTCTACGGATCAGGACTAGTTTCGCCTCATCCTCTCACCACGGGGACTTAAAACTTCACCGGATATGTTATTTAAACTTCATCGTAGCTGACTGGACAAGGGACTCTTTTTGATATTTGACGCTACTCAGCATTGGAAAAGTGATGTAGTTGGACCTTGACCATGTCAACCTGGGGTATTTCGGGATACTAGTAACTAAGAATGAGCCTATACTTGATCTTTGCTCGGAAAAACGGGAATGTCAGCAATGCAATACAAACATGAGAATAATAATGATTCACTTTGTTAATTCCACTAATTATATAGTTTATTTGCCGATCCACAACGATTTATTAAGCGCGGAATGACAAAATGGGTAAAGAATTATCGTTAATTAGTTAAACTTATTTGGTATGCTTATGACTAGGTCGAAGATTGGCTTGACTTTACGATGTAAGCGCTAAAGTCTGCAGGAGTAAAGTTGACAGACAGGCTTCCCTAGCGAAGGTGACACGGTTGTATGTACGTATTGATTGACATCTAATTAGCTAGCCGAAGATTTACCGACCTATTCGTTCCTGCAAGCTTTGGGTAATTATGGAATTATGGTATGTTTGCAAACAGTGATTTGTTGGAAGAAACATTGTTGACTGAGACGCTTTCAGAAAGTGCAGACAAATACCATCACGAATTTCCAAAGTATAATATTTACGGTTTTCAAACACATAATCAGATTCACTACACCAGCCATTATCTCCCGACAAGACTCCAGAACTTGCAAAATTACTACACCAAATGCTACTACATGTGAAATGCAGGCCATGAGAGCTTTTTCCAGCAGTACGCATCGTGCCCGGCTTTGCCTTCAGAAAGTAAGTAACAATGCAAATTTTGCATATGCCCACTGTCAAAGTTCAACCTTAATCTATACTTCGGAACGTGCACTCTGTGAGCCGATCTCCACAGACCGTTCCGCATTAATCTCGTTCTTCATCTCAGTTCTGATCCAAATACGTAGGGCAAGAGATGGTATGGTACATATGAGCGGCGTGTAGATGATTGCGTACAGAATGCTCGATCATCATTGCTAGATTTCGCAAAAACTAAATTGCTTTTATTGTGCGGCACCTTCTTACTTTGTTCATGGGCATGCGCATGAAATGATATCGCCGATCGAGAACTCGATAAGCTGGACGAAAGATGCAAACAAAGGCCCATGATCAGCGGCAGGCTCTCCGTAACGGGTGCTTGCTTGTTCATGGGACTCCTGTGGTTTGCTTGGGTATTCTTGATGCAAAGCTTTGTTCCATCACTCATGGCTCATGGTATAGCCTTAACCATTCTTTCGGGAGTACACCCATTTACCAAAAGGTTCATGGCATATACTCCCGGTTTCCTCGGCGTAACCTTCGGATGGGGAGTATCCATGAATTTGCAGCGACGGGCATCGATCCACTGCAACTAACACTTCCTTTCTCTAATCAAGGATATGAAGTGATAATTTTCGGCGCTTTATTGCTCTTCTTATATTATACAATATGGGCAATCATCTTCGAGACAGTCTATGCTTTTCAAGACCTCCCAGATGACACGAAGGCCAAAATAAATTCTATGGCAGTTCGGCATCTCCATAATTGCACTTATTGTATTCCTGCTGACTACTTGGCCGTTTATGGCCTACAAACCTTGGAATTGTACCCGCGTCATTGGGGTAGCAGCTCTTTGGTATGGTGACCCGAAAGATCGAGCTTTCGGGTGACCCTGAGAAAGAAACGTTATTTCTATATTGATCCTAAAATATAACCGTCTGCAGACATAGCTTGTTTATCTGTATAGTGAATATTGGTGTTTGATTGCTTCAATCTCGAGCTTCGTACGTCCATTTGGTGATAAGTGCAGGCTTGATAAATGAAACACACAAGTGCTCCATTTAGATACTAAAGCATTCCTCTTCGTTTTCCGCCGGATGTTTTCGTAGCATGTGAAGATACTCTTTCAAAACATCAGAAGCGATGCAGAAAACGCAGCTGGAATGGATCGAGAATGAGCTGATGTGAATTGAATCACAGAATGTTATAAGTAGTTATAACATATCAACGTACAAAGGATTATGCAACAATGATGTTATGATATTCTATTTGATGGAAGTGAGAAGTGCAAAGGAGTAGGGTAGAAAAAACGGGACCTTTCCTGATGATACAATATAAGAGGGCCCTCAGGGGAAGCAGTTTATCGATTCTTCCAGAGCACACTGTGAAGATAGAAAAGAAATCCATAACGTTCTAGTTCAGATCATTTGATAAAGGGCTCTACTTTATGATGGTCAGTCTTTATAGGGCAGGCCGCTCTTCTGAATCGTTAGACGGTGAGTTGGCTAGTTGAATGGAGGATCTTATTCTGTGTTTCATTCTGGTTTGCGTTGCTGCACACACTGTTTTGGAAGATGCCGGGAAGATGCCTCATCCAAAACACAAAACACAAAACACAAAACAGAAATCGGTCTCTTTATTGTTCTTGCTCTTCCTCCTTCCCTCTGTTCTTTTCCTAAAGTTGTCTTGTGATGGATGAAAATAGCAAGAGGAGCAGTAGATTACAAACAACAGAACCAATACTAGATAAATAATTCTTAGATATGTGACTAAAGAAATTCGACAAGCAGTGTCACTATACGTATAACAAGATGACACTAACATCAGCAACTTGAATACTGTGCTTTTCGCTTTTCCTTTGGTATTCATCTCACATTCCGCGCAACTATCATTTAGCACAGAGATCCCCTCTTCTCATTATTCTAGGGCCTGCGAGCCTAGCCAATTCCATATGACTTAGTATCCTTGCCTGTCTAGTCATCAAATTATCTCTCGTATCATTCATCGATCGATATTTGATGGGGTTAAGCATACCATCCTTAAGCGGGAGCACAGCAACCGAAATTTTTACTATAAGAAGTCGGGGTTTTTTGTTGAATCTTGTTTCGCCGGGGCAAAACATGATTTTCACGGCCGATCATAAGATATTCATGGAAGTGTTATCGCAGGTACTTGTTCGATTTCACTATTTCAGGCTTTGGCACCACGGCTAACACACTTGCACATGCAATCATGTATCTCGCTATTCATTCGGAATGGTAAGACGGGATCATTGTCAATATCTCTCAAGTTATGGATGCCCACATGTCAGGAGATTATTCGACATACTTTTCGATTCTGACTTGCTGTCTGGTATTCATGGTGCTTATTTCTGCATTAAGTCTTGGCAAGCTGTGATGATGGAGCAACTCTTTTAGTTCCAGACCATACGTCTCTATACACCTGTTGTTCACGTAGCGAGGACTTTCGCAGCCACAGAAGATTCAAGACTTTTCCTTCGCACCAGGAATAATTACCTAGGTCAGCGGCTCTACAATGAACACTAGATCATCGATATGGCGTTCCGACTCTCTCGAATTCAGATCACCTCGCTGGCTCAAGCTCTCCACTGGTGATGAGACTGTCCGTGGACCTCGCGGCACATTTATTCCCTGGTCCGCGGGTCTGCGCTTCTGTCTTATCTTCAAAACGGCTCATGTAGAGTTCGTGAGTGATTTATTCACAATTTGCTGTAAGTAGAAATTAGAAATAGTGAGGCAAGAGGGCGAGACCGAACAGGATGCAAGAGATGGAATGGCTGCTATGGGTTTAGGTAGTTCACCCAAATCGACTTTGCAAATTAACAGACCGCAGGATGTGGAATTGAGATGAGTTGCGAGATGGTTTGGATATGGATATGAAGGCCTGGGGCCTTTCTAGGTGCTCGTTGTGAAAGAAAATTTTGCGATCATTTCTATCGCTCTTTCTCGTGTTTGGCATTTCATTGACGAAGAGCGACTAACTTGGGACCGGCAATTTAATCCATAAATATATAATAGAGATGCTTTTACTTGAAAATCGTATATAACTATTAGACTTCTTGCAATTCTCCAGGTTAAAGGAGTAAAGTTGAGAGCTCTTTGAAAAGGGGTTGTCCACTAAACTGATACCCCTCATCTACTATCAACGACATTCCCTTCTTCACCATTCTAGATATTCCCACACCACTACAGCACACCTCGAATATGAGACGAATCTACTTGACATCTCTTCTCAAGAGAACTAGAAAAGGATAAAAGGAAAGTATATGATCAGAAGATTCGGTATGCATCTTTATATGTGATGTCTATTGAGGTTCCCCGCGGGGGGGGGAAACTGCTAGTGAAATAGTGAAGCTGATCGGCCAATTACCTTAGGTAGATATACTTGTAAGCACGGAATGAATTTATAAACAACAGTAATTTCTGTTTAGTCAGAAGTAGAACGGGGCGTATAGTAATGAATGAATTTAGATATACACCTTAGTGGTAGGGGTAATCTAGCCAAGCCACAACTCCCAGTCTAGCGACATCTCCAGATTACAATGTGTCGGCCAGCTTTCAGCCACAACCTTGAGCAGCAACGGTGAAGACGTCAAGATACCACCATAATTGGAAGATGCGAATACGTTCACTAACGCCCTTAATTCCATGAACAATTGTCCCACACTCGCGATATCACGCGAACTCAATCCACGATGTCGAATTTTCGGCGCGCCCCAGTTGGGGGTAACAATCGAAACAGCATTCTAAGTTCTTTGAGAGCTACTGAAATGGTCGGCAGCAATGGCAGCAAAGCTGTTCTGCCTGCTGAAATAATATCTACAATTCTCGACTACCTACCGATTCCAGATCTTATGAGCTTTGCGCGCACATCGAAACGAATGCAAGAAATGGTATATGAGGATTCGCGATGGGTTTCGAGACTGAAATCCATGGGTGTCTGGAACGAAGGAGAAGCTAGGAAAAGATTCGAAGAAATACTGAGAAAAAAGCGAGAAATGGTGCGAGTGAGGGCAGAAGAGGATTCTAAGAGAATTGGGATTGGTGTCGGTGTTGGTGGAGCTGGGGGAGGAAATGGGAATGTTGCTGGAATGAGGAAAACTAGCACGACGTTATTCGATGCGGGAGAGGAAGAGTTACGACAGCAGCGGAGATCAGCAGAATTTGCTTCGAAGAATATTAGAGGCCTTCCGGATGGATTTGAGACGTTGTCAATATCAGCGCAAGGTCATATGAGTCTACCGCCCCCACCACGAACTCGAACGCCTATGCAAGATCCGGAAGCTTTGTTGAACGTATTTGCGGAAGCTAGATCAATACGTGGGTCTGCGAGGCATGAATACGGGAAAATATATGCAGCACTAGGACCTTTCTACTACGATTTGGCTAGATCTAGGAGTCATGTTGATCCAGTTTTATTTCGAGTTTACAGAACACCAGAACAACAGGCACAAATGCTAGCCCATCTCCAGGTGTTTTCGCGGAGTGATTGGGCTCAAGGGTGGAGACAACGAGAGGAAAGGTTAATTACTATGACAGGCATATTCGAGACCGCAGTGCTGCGAGAATTTGAGCAGGGTTACGAGGTGTGGGATATTGACGGTAGAATGCGTCGGTATGCTCATGTGTTGGGTGTACTAAATGGGGGGCATGCTGGTATAGAATTATTCGTTCAGAAACACCCAGTATTCTCCGACCGCGATTTTCTCGGTAACTCAATGGATTGTATCAACCAAGCAGCTTCTGAATGTATAGCGCTTGAGCCGTCACGGGCGTTTCTGGAAAAGCTGTCCAAGAAAGTGAATGAACAAGCAGATATAATCGACAGGGTCTTTCCTCCAGGGCAGGATGTTTTACAGATCTTTTTGGATAAAGTAGCAGAGGATATTCTTATGGAATACGTTACTCCTTTATTCGATGAATCCCACGAACGAAGCATTGCATCTTATCTTCAAGCGGTTTCTGGTATCTTTGAACAAAGTATGCAATTTGCATCTACACTCAGGTCCACCAGGAATTCAGGGAAAGACTTTTTCGATAAAGTTAAAGCTGTTATAGCGCGAGTGTTTGAACCTCACGTAGATCTCTACCTGTCAGAAGAACTTGATCATTTTAAAAGACACGCCGAATCTGAAGTAGGAGAATGGGAGACGAAACTCTCGGCTCAAGATGCTTCAAAAGAATCATTCTTTATGGGCAATGTCAATCGCGTTGCAGATAAGAAGGACTTCATGAGTTCGTTCAAAAAAGTTGTTATGATGCCTGTTAACGTTTTACCTATAATGTCTCCGTTCGGTGCGACTAAGCCCGTAATAGCGCCCCAGGCAGGGAGTCGATCAAGCTTGCAGGTACTTAGTGCGAGTCAGTCAGCAGTATCTTCTCGATCACCCACTCCATCATTACCACCAGGTGCAATATCGGTTCCACTACCGACCGAAGCACCAACAGATGAACTTGCAGCCAAAGCAGCTTTGATGGCCTCTAGGTTGGAAGGAATTCGATCACTCTTCAGTATTGAAGTGGCTCTAGACCTTACGCATTCTGCAAAAGCGAGTATTGAACGTGCAGCTCTTTTCGTCCGACTAGGAGGTCAAACTGGAGAAGAAGCCCGAGAACAGTGCGAGGCAATATTCGTAGTGTTATTGCAAATCCTTGGAACCAGGCACGTCAAAACAGGGTTTGATAAAGCCGTGGATCATCTCTCCAAATACAACCCTCGTGAGATTAGCGAGCACCAACAGGGTGTAGTGGTACCTCTGATGACATTCCTGGAGCTTGTCAATGTTGGAGACTTGATCTCCCAGATGATCGATGTCTTCTACGAACAGCAACTTGCAACGACTAAACTTGCTGACCGGAATGATTTTCTTGATCCCGCCGTTAAAGCCAAGAAAAAATTCGAACAAATGCTGGATGAGAGAGTCGCAGCCGGTTTGAATAAAGGTATTGATGTCCTAATGGACGAAGTCGAATATATTTGCGGCACCACCCAGCTTCCCACTGACTACAATCCACCCGAATTCGATGCCACTGGTGCAAACTCAGATATTGATATCGGGCCAACTAATACCGCCGTGCAAGTTGTCGCTCTCGTAGAATCCCACACTAAAATGCTTACTGGAAGTACCGACAAAACAATGCTCGACGTCTTCAATCAAGAAGTAGGACTCCGTCTCTTCACTGCCGTCTGCAAACACCTTAAGCGTCAACGTATCTCCACTTCCGGAGCCATCAAACTCATCTCCGATATGAATATCTACTTCGTGTACATCAAGACTCTAAGGAATGCAGACCTACTGCAGTATTTCAAGGCATTAAGGGAATTGAGTCAGATTTATTTGATCAGTCCAAATCACGCCAAGGAAATGGCGACAGTTATTGCGGATGGTGATAGATTCGGGGGTATCTTCAGAGCGGAGGAGGTTTACGAGTTCGCGGAGAGGAGGGCTGATTGGTATACGGTTAAGAAAGACGTTGAGAGGGCTATGTATGGAATTGGATGTGGAGTTATGTGAGATATAGAGTGGGGGGGGAGAAAATATTAGCACGGCGTACATAGAGACCTTATGAGATATGAATGAATGTGTCTCTCTGAGACCAATGAATATGATGGAATAAATTTCATTGTTATTATGATGACTATATAGTTTCCACTCTTGCGCTTTTCCAGTAGATTCAGTACTTTTTGTAGCTGGTTCTGGAAGGAGAACAAATGCAGCTTCAAATGCAACTTCTTTGTGCTCAGAACCAGTACCACCAGCGAGAGGGAGAGGTGCACGTCTGTTCTCTGTTGAGGTCTAATCTTTCGATAGAAGCTTCACGAATAAGGCTTTCTTGCCTCCTTGTCTGCGATTTCCTGTTTCCAATCACCCTTGACGCCTCATCCTTGACGCCAGATGACAATATACGCCGCATAATGTTCGGTGACCCAAAATCTTTACCTCATAGAAGAAAAATCCAACTTCCTCGCTACCTTACTCGTCCGATCATCATCTACTAGTCCTGGTCTCCTCTTCAAATCCTCTCCCATTTTTTCCTCGCCACCTCTCTTCTTTGGAAGATCTTGATTTTTTGTAGGTTTGGGATCTGATGCCCACCAAGGATGTTCTAATACCTGCCTCGCCGTGATCCTTTTACTGGGATCCAGTATCAACATGTTCATCAACAAATCCACTCCCTCGGGCCCAGCTGTTCCAAACATGCCCAAATAGTTTTCTCGTGGAACTACTGGGTTTATTGGATCGGGTACTGTGTATTCTGGTAATTTGGTAACTCCCGGCCAATTATCTTCAGTTGGTGTGCCAATAGCTTGACAAATGAGAGAAACTTGATGAACCTCAGTTTCACCACCTAGAAATGGAATTCTTAAAAGCATTTCGGCAAACACAAGTCCCACTGACCAGATATCCACGGCGCCAGAATAGTGCCTGGCGCCGAACAACAGCTCAGGTGGTCGATACCAACGTGTGATAACATTCGATGTCATAGTTCGCTGGGGGTCTGCGAAGTTTCTCGCCAAACCGAAATCTGCAAGTTTGACCTCTCCGTCTGCGGCAATCAACAAATTGTTTGGTTTGATATCGCGGTGTAGAACGAAGTTTTCGTGACAAAACCAGATGGCTCGACTGAGCATGCCCATCCAAGCTTTTATATCGGCCGCACCGTACCGTACGCCATCAACGTCTTTGATCAACATTTCGAGATCTCCGAGAGGTAGAAATTCGAGGACCAGGTTCAGGTTTTGGTCTTTGGAAGAGAAGACTGAGAGGAGAGATATTACATTAGGGTGGGAGATTTCTTGGAGGTGCTTCAATTCGCGGATGGCATCGGGTGCCATTCCCTCTGTGTATTCTTTTTGTATTTTAATTTTCTTGATAGCGACGAGAACCTTGGGATCAGTCCTTAAGTGGCCCAGATAAACGTTGGCATAAGTTCCCTCTCCGAGTTTCTTGCCTAAGACATTAGCTGGTTAGCTATGTTACGACCTAACAATGTAATGCCATGGAATAAATACCTTTGACATATTTAGATCTCTCATTCTCGTTCATCTGCTCTGCTAAATCATAAGTTGTGCCGGCACTTGCAGCTGGGCCATCAGAAGGAGTCCCATTACCACTGGGGACGGCGCTCGAGAGCTTTGATCTGCTTGCACTTCTCTCGCCAGAGCCCGCAGATGGGACAATGAGAGGTGAAACTGCCATATTGAATCGGGGCGGTAATTGACAAGCCTAGCGTAGCATATTTAGAGTCATAGAGTTGTAACGTTTTGTTTTGCTGACGGTTTGTCGGGTATTAAGCTTAGATTGAAGCATAAGGCTTTGATGCACATTTCGGGGTTGACAAGGCTGAGATCTTGAAGTCCTAGCGCCAATTGATTAATCATCAGCTTTTCTCATAAGATGGCGTCGGGCATCCAGTGATCTTTTTGTCATTTTGATGCGAGCTGGTCATCTACCAATTGTAAACATTTTTCATCTTAACTGTCTTTGCCATATAAGTTTATGTGCGTTGTGTAGTTATCAGTTCCATGCTGGTGTTCGCCGGTCTATTGGCCCGTGAAGGCAAGAGCGAATGGGCTACGATTTCGAGCCTTCCAAGATTGTCTTCCAAGTGGAATCCATCGCTCTTTCTATGTTGAATGTTCATTCTCTTCTCAAAATACTGTAAGTAAAGTATCTTCTCATTCAAAGGGTTCATCATCACTATCTATTATTGATACCCGACCCACATACACTTGATTTTGTTGGGGGTTATGTGAACTCGATTGGTATGATTTCTCTCTTAGTTCATTAATACCTTCTTGCGCTTCTGCTTAGAGTATTGATAATTCTAAATATTGTACCCCTCTCGTTCATGATGTGGCAGGTATTTTCATATTGGGTTTGTTTTCCTATCAGAACCTGCTCTTCGCTTGATGTCTGACAACAGCTAGATGATTCCAACGGCCTCAGCTATCATCTGGTTTACTACACTCAATGCCCTGCTCGGTGCCTTTATCGTCTTTCCCCCTCATGATCATCTTAACTCTACTGTACCAGCCCGACCACCTTATCCATCAATGGATTCCCAATTCCATACAGTACCATACGTATCGGACATCGGAGCTACCAAAGAAATGCAGCCAATATTTGTAATAGGCTGTGTCCTGACCACTTTCTTGCTCGCAGGGTGTTTTATTGCAGAACGCACACTTCGTCATAAAGGTCGTCTCGCAAGGAACACAGATAGTACAGAGAGAGTAGTGGCTTATCTGAGCATTGTGTCGGCTGTAGTTGGATCCATGGGCTTGATCTTTCTGAGCATATTCGATGTTTTCAGGTATAGGACCATACACAACACAATGGTGGGGTTATTCATTTCTGGATATGCTATTAGTGCATTTTTCCAATCTTGGGAACACTATCGTATGGGATGTAGTATGTCTCCTTTCTTTCCATTTCAATTATATAATCTGACTTTAATCAGAATATCGAGACACGCATGCAAACTTGATGATTTCAGCCTACACGAAACTCGTTTTTATTGGTCTGGAAGGCTTTCTCGGTCTAGCATACTGGTATGTCTTTATAGCAAAGAATTGGGACGCGGGTGCTGCTATCGAATGGGCCGTTTCCTACGTTTTCTGTTTTTACATCCTTTCATATCTTTTTGATTTCCTCCCAGCATTAAATACGAAAGAAAAGCACTGTAGATTTGGAGTTTATAACGAAGAATGTATGGTCCAGGTTAATGGTCGCAGGAAGCAAGCTGTTGTACAGGAGGTCAGGGGAGTTACACCAGGATGAGAAGAAGTGGAAGACTTGAGTTGTACACATTATTCCAGCAATTGAAATTGACCATAACCCTTTCAAGGCAACATACAAAAGCTCTAGATTATTCTAAGTAGGCCATTACCAAATGCAACCATTCAAAGCATATATCCATTGACATCCAATACTAGGCCACTGCCTCGGCCAAAAACGCAACCCTTAAGCAAAAGTATTATCATCTTTCCAACTAATATATGCGACGATTATCTCCCTTTCTGGCTTTCCTTCGTCGTCGCATTATAGCTCGCTGGTTTGTTCTTCCTAACAGTCATTTTCGCTGTCTGAAATCTCACAAAACAACCTGCCACCACTTGCTCTTTCGTTTTATCTGTGTCCACCAAACCTGTTTCAATCAATTCCCTTACAAACATCTCAACATCCTCGAATTCATTCCAATCATTCAGAAACCTTTCCGGTATTCCCGTGTTATTCAACAAAGCTATCAAGCCCGCGTTGACTGTGTTAGCAGCCGCTAATATGGTTATCGCAAGTCCATGTTTTGCGGCAGAGGAAGATCCGAGAGCAGTCAATACAGCTCCAAAAAGGAGTTGAAGGATTAATGCAAGACTGTAAAGAGTACTGGAGAGATAATACGCCAGTTGACTCTTCTGGCGTGTTTGCACAATATCTTTGTAAAGGCCATTAGGCAAGTGCCGATGTGAGAAGAGAGGGGAACCAGAAGCTATTTCAACTGGCTGCGATGGGTTGTCTGTGCGCGTAGCACCGATGGATCGTAAGACGCCTATGTATTCGGCTTCAGAGAGGGTGCAAAGAGGTGGGAGCACGTATTGTGTCTCTATCTGGCCGAGGGCATCGACATCTTGTGGTGTGGGTGTTGGACTTCGCGAAGGTGTTGAGTCGAGGTTAAGTTTGTCCGCTGGGATAGTGGAAGTCATGGCTGAAGCCATATTGATATAGTGTATATTGTTAGATTTTCTGAGTGGATTGAAGCAAGAATCGATTGAAAGATCGCTAATAGATGACACTGATTGCAACTGACCAGGCTAGGTACGAGATCAATGAGAAGACGTGGAAATTAGATCCAAACTATAGCGCACGAGAATTGATACAGAACAAGGCAAGGAACGAATCCTTCTGGGATCTTTCTCCCTTTTATACTTCTCGGTGGCAGCTCTCTTCCCTAACTTACGCAAAACTTTCCATGCCATACCCTCAGTACGCGAGTGCAACCCAACTCAGTCTTTTTTCAATACCAACATTGTCGCAATTCAACACACCTTGTCAGCGGTTCCTAAGTCGAGTCAGGCTGTGTGTAGGCGTGGGGGAGTGAGGCTCCTTGTTCTTGCCCAATGTGTAAATGGATAAGTCAAGGATGGTATGACAAAAACGTAAAAAAGGTGCGTCAACTCGACACGCCACCTTTGTGCACCGAATGTAGCCTTATAGACATCAAAGATGATCTCATCCCCATGGAAGGAGATTTTGACAAGATTGTTATCCTAGTATCATATCCTCGAAACTAAACATGGTACTTCTTTCTCGCTTTCAGGAGATTGGTTGAATACCGAAGAACATAGATTGACTTAAGTAAATTACACTATCGAGGTAAATCGGGATGGGATGAGATCATCCAGTACACATGGATGCTTGTAATTGAGTCAGATATGTAGGTACATTGATCTTACCCTGAGTGGCAACCCTAGTCATCGAACAAGCATTCGCAGACCGGGACCTCCACGAGTTCATGAATAAGCCTTTTCTATAAACACGCTTTACAATCAGCCTACAATAACCGGTACAATACCTGCCAGTCGGGTCTTCGCAAATGATAGCATGTGCGACTGTGTCTTACTGCTCTTTGTGGCACCAATCGGTGAGAGGATCGAATAATTACTTGCATCTGAAACAAAAGGGGAAGGCAGCCCTATCGCTTATTTCTTCAGGGAGGTGGGGATAACGGTCTCATTGGCTATGCTACGTATTGGTGGCTTATTGTCAGAAATCTTACTCTATCAATCCTTTATGAACCCTAGAATCGTGTAGTTTGTCTACGTCAAGACTAACACACTATACGACTAAGAGGTAGGAAAATTTTGGGCTTATGGCAATTGGTCATGTGGAAAGCTTGAAGTAGATAGGAGTTGCAGTGGGCCTTAGACATTGTTCCTATTTGTACTTCGTACTTTGGATTAAGAAATAGGTGATACAAGGCATGGGGAGAACACGTTTTTGAAATTGTTAGTTCAGCCTTGGTAATGGTCGCAGCGAATTACGGGATATTGCTTGGGGTCCGAAACGGATACGAAGTATGGTTGACATGGATTCTCCTTTTTACTTAATGGGTTGATACTTTTTGGCTTCATGTTGGTCTTTGGTATCAAATCAGAAATCATTTTTTTCCCCGGGAAAATATGTTTACAGCGCTTGCTTGTGTTGGCAGACATGCAGGAGACTCAACTCGACACCAATGTTGAAGGTGCTCTGCATTTGAATCCAACCAGTTGGGGTTTCAAGGCCATTTCAACCATTCTTCATACTTGGTCATGAAACGACAACTTCGAGATGATAACTCAAAATGGGTTTGTGAAACACGGACACTGCTATTGATTATCTCTCATGTCAATTTTTGCGCTATTGCTCTGATGTTCGGATAGAGACTTCATATTCCTTCATCGATCACTTTCAAGAATTGGGTGCGAGCGCCATAGAAACATCTCAGAGTCACTAACCCCCCATTCCGGTTCGTACCGTCGTTCACAAGGATGCATGGAAGCTGGAGACGAGAAAATCGTCGAATGACAATACCCAACATGCTGCGAGATAGTTCTCAATTCGGGTACGAAGCGTAACATCTTTCTGTCAACTTAAGATGCATATTTCATATACTGTAGCTAGCAATGACTTCACGACCAGAGACTCATTAAAATCCCTCACTTAGAGCCCATTCTTCTTCAGAAAATCTACAATAACCTGGTAGCCGCCCGTTGCATTATACTGTTAATAGGCAAATGTTAGTCAATATCAATTAACACATCCTCAACATCTAGCTCACTGGAACTTTCACAGCCACGATGTTCAACTACACAATCAGGTTACAGGAAAGGGGGGAACTTACAGCTAAATTCAAACTGTGAGCTGCACCTGGCTGAACGTGACTCTGAAATCCTTTGGAGTTAGGAAATGCTTCTCTAGCCGTTGGTCCCAGAATGCCTTGGCAGTTGCCACCGCAGTTTATATAATCGTATTCGCCGCTTTGGATTAAAGAGAGTTAGTGTATAATCTCGAAAGATGGTAAAATTGGTTTAGGGAACGATGTCATGATAGAATACATACGCCATGACTAACACCGGGCTTTTAAAAGCTCTCGCATTCAGATCGACTAGGGGCGCCGTCGCGCTTCCCATTATAGCTTGTGGATATCGATGTTCTGTACTATGTGAATCTGTAAGATTCGTATCATAGTATCCTTTCCGATAGAACCTATATCAAATTCTCGTGAGCATTTTCTCAATTTTGACCCCCTCAATTTTTCCCAACACACAAAAATGGGAACAGATTTATGAAAAATCGTCTTTCTTACAATTTCCAAATCACAAACTTATCATCCTGATCCAAATACCCCGAATCATATCCCGAATCCTCCCATTTCTTATCCACCGTACTTGCAATCTTTCCATTCCAGCTCGAAAGAAGAGAGCCGATGGAGCTGGCAACGCTGGCTTTGTAGCCAACTCCAGTCAAGATTACCGCGTCGGCCAGAGAAGCATTCTTGGCTATAACTGCATTTGTAATGCTGGAACCTACATTAAAGCCGATAGGGACAATTTTCTTGGGCACAGTATGTTCGACCGATTTTGGAAAAAGCGAGTTTTCGCGGATTCGGGTGAGGATTTTCTCGAGCACGGCAACGTGCATCGGGAGTTGGAGGGTGTAGCCGCTTATTCTGTGATGATGTTATTACTATGAAGAGATGTTGGTGTTTAATTGTTTAAATAATCCTCGTAATGGGGGTATCAGTTGAGGAAAGGAAAGCGTGTATACGTACACTTGAGAACGACCTGCCCCTAGAAGATCGTAGGAAAGAAACGAATATCCCTTCCCTACTACGTAGTTTGCGAAATTGTATTTTTCGGGTTGGTATTGTATATCCCAATAACTAATCAAGTCAACGGATACTCACAACTAACAATCTTTTTTCACAAGCAATAAAGCAAGCTTACGTTCTATCAGAGTTCAAACCATGCGTAGCAACTAACAAAGTAGTTGCATTCGCCGGCTCGCAATACGTTCCCGAGAAACGAAAGGTTCCATTTCCAGGAATGCTGCCTGAAATAGAATGGAAAGTCTTGTCGGCGTCGCGGCGATTGATGTCTTGGATATAGGTAGCTACATCGTAATTGTCACTGAAAGGGGGGTAGCCGAATTGGTATTGGGTGTAGTCGATGTACACGAGAAATCTAAAATCGGTGCATGCAGTTTCGGCGCGAGATATTTGGGTATGAATAATGAGGAGTACGATGGAGAGGAAGGGGAGATGCATAATAAGCTTAGATGAGTGATTTTGAGGGTCTTATATGATTAGACGTGATTCTTTCTCGTGCCTTCGATGGAGGTAGAAAGTTCTTGAGATTTCGCAGTTCAGGCAGATTCTTGTGTGTAGAATATACCAGAGAAATAAGAAAAGACTTGTCATGAGAAGAGTCCAACTCCAGAAAAGTTCAATTTATACATTAAAATGAGTTTGAGCTTCATCCAAAAAGTTGTATGATCTTTTCCTCCACACGAAGACACAACTCGTAGCTCAGATGATCAATCAGCCCATTAGTAGAAATGGATGAAATTTGAGTACTTGCCGTCCCAGGAGCAGTAAGCAGCTATCAAAACTATCATTTATGGGGAAAAACGTTTCTTGGAATGACTCGAGAATGGGTAAGGTTCACAACTTTTCTCGTATGGAAATAGTCGATGTCACTGAAGAATTGGATGCCTAGCCTTGGAAATTATTATCCAGTATTGAAATTCTTCTTGGCATGCAACGGGATACTCTCGCAGAATAGCCACGTCAAAAACCGAGCTGAAAGTAATTGACAATGATACATTTGACAAATCAATAGCATAAATACGATGTATAAGTATGTAGAACAGCTTTATAATTAAATTTCATTAATGACTCGATTAACCCATCTTGAATAACCCATTTTACGTTTCCCATTCCAAAATTCTATCTTTCCATTCTTCATCAACATTAAGCACCATAACATAACGGGTATATCGGAAAGGGCGCGACCGTGCAACCGCCCATTTTTTCTCATCAAATGAAGTCATCTTCTGTCATCACTAGAAAGGAAGAACTTCCTTTCCTCTAAGCAACAGTTCCCTTAACTTGCTTGATCTCATCGACCTTGTAATCTCTCCACATGCCCACAAACACGAAACAAGGTATCAGGAATGCTACTCCGGCAACAGCCAGCCATTTCATGCTCTCCCCATATGCAAACCAGACTGCATCCCTCTCCACACTGCCAACGGGATACTGCAATTGAACAGTCAGACTTCCGTATAATTGAGCTGCCAATTCTGGGTCGCTAATCTTCTGTGCCAATGCTGCGGGGAATTTGTTGGTATAAATAGCTCCTGAAATTGCCACACCAATTGCGCCTCCAACAGAACTGAAGAGTCCAATGAGCGCTAACATAGACGCAACCCCTTTGTGTGGTGCAGCAGCCATAACAGCCATTTGTTCACAGATGGATATAGTTCCACCAGAGAAGGCGATGAAGATTTGACACATAATGACATATCCGATGGGTTGATCTGGTTGGCGGAAATGAATCATAAGACCCACGCCCAAAGTTTGAAGTGGAACTGCGAAGTAGAGGGCGAGCCACCTGAAACGGCCGGTGACGCGGATGGCATAGGAGATGACTACAGCCCAGAAACAGGAACCGATGGAATATATGTTGGTGACGTAGCCAGTGTGGGTGACGCTGAGATTATGGACCGCTTGGAGATAGTTATAAAAGTAAGAGTCCCAGCAGTAGAAGGAAATGAAGAAGAAGGAAGAGCAGAGGCAGGCGCCGACGACGGTGCGGTCAGTGAGAAGCTCGAAAGGAATGAAAGATTTGCGGCCAGCATAGCGTTCGAAGAAACCGAAAGCGATGAGACATAATATTCCAATGACGAGCATAGCGATGATCATGCCGGAGTGCCAGCCTTCCTTTTGGTAGGAGGCAAGGGAGAAAGGAAGAAGGAAGAGGACAAAACCAGCGGAGACGAGGAGGAGACCAATTACTGCATAATTCTTAGACGAGAGTCAACACGCGTGAGATTGAAATAGGCTTACCATCGAATTCCCAGAAATAGTATTTGATACTCTCAGCCCATGTGCGGCCACTATCGATTCTCTTGATTAAACCTGCCTTCTTTGCTTTACCTTGATTCACCCATAAAAGTGAAAGAATTGGGATACAGATCACGGGAGTGATGATTGCGAAAGCACCGAAGGCCCATGGCCATCCACTTGTCTTGAGGAATGACGCCGCAGCTGGAGGTCCAATCCATGTTGTTACGATATATGGAGTTGTCGAGAACGCGAAAACCAAAGCTCGATTCTTCAGACTTGATGTATCGGCCATGAAGACATCGAGGACGTACATCATTCCATCGAATCCCAACCAATAAAATACCTGCTTTTGTTAGTAATCGTGAGTCGAGAAAGGACTAGACTCATCACTTACTTGTGCAGCTGCATAAGTTTCTACATTTTTGCACGCAGCCATCATGATAAGACCTATACATGATTAGATACATCGTACATAGCCAAGAATCACTGTGACACGGAAGGTGGGGGAACAATACCTATTGTGGCGAAACCGGTCATGATCGCAAATCCTTCAGCGCGACCAATCAAATCAACAAACTTAGCAATTGGAAGTCTGAAGACACCACCAACAATGCTTGACACGATACTAGTGGTACCAGTCAAAGGCAATAGGATGAAAGAAGAAGTAACGTAGACCGAAAGATTGTTCTGGATTTGTTGTTGCATAGAGATCACGAAGAAAACGAGGAAAATGCTATTTTATATTAGAGCCTTGTTCACATAGTATAGGATTCATTAGGATAATCAATAACTCACAATGCGTATGCCAAATATAATTGGTTTTTGGTCCAGATCAAAGTGACAGCTTCTACTGCTTGAACACCATGCTGAGCATCCTCTACTGGTGTATCATCTACCGAACTTGCTGGATCGTTAACGGCTGTGTTGAGGCCATCATTCTTATGATCGAGACCGTCAGGATATGCTGTCATCTCAGGACCGACGGCAACCTCAGAGGCCAAGCCGTCAGTCTTCGTTCTCCATGGTCTGAACCCCATGTTGCGTTGAATACTGTTGTCGATATCTCTATCCAGTCAACGTAGGTTGGTATGAAGAGATATGCGAAGATTATTGCTCGGATGAAAATTTGATGGTCGGATATCAATCGAGATATGAAGAGGAAGATGAAGATGAAGATCTATGAGCTACAAGTACAACATATATCATATGTACTAGTACTGTATGGCAAAAAAAAGAAAGCTAGCTTACGGTGTGCATACTTACTTATCACTCCTAGCGTAACTTGGTCTCCGTGCCATCCCTTCGAGTTCGGAAATCAGCAGTTGCATTATTATTGTTGAACATACCCGTGTGACTATCGTATAGCAGTAAAATCGGAGCTTCCGTGGTCCCATAACCAAAATTATGGGGAGTGGTACAACCCGGTAGCCATACAGATAGCATTCTTTTTGGTGGGATTATGGGAAATGGCTCCATTCTGCTACGCAAGAAGGTAAAGATCCGCTATCAATATAAATCTGTGACACCCAATCAAATGATAGAACGAGGAGAAGATTTTTTACACAGATATATAGGACTGAAGTTATGATTGGTTGGTGAGATCCACGTTGACTGCTACCCTGACGAACTTTGTTACTAGAGCAGTAAGTATAGTCCGGCCGGCCAGGATTTTGTTCATTGACGGATCTGATAACTTTAAAATCTCCTCAGACTCCATCTGATTAGATTGATTAAGGAAGTGGCGAACGAAGCTATTGATTCATTCATTCGCTCCAGCTACTCGGTATATGTTCATGGCATTCGTGTTCTTACATTGGTGCTACACTCTCATTCTCTTCCTTTCCTCGGTAACGTATTTCGACAATCACCGGTAAACGGCGAAAGGTACTCCAGAAGTTAGAAGCCAGGAAGACTCGAAGGGTGATCGACAGAACTTTACTCAGTTGCGACTTGGAGGTAGAAGCACACCTACCTATTGATTGCCAATATCACTCTTTCTATGATTACGTACATCGATGTATTGAAGCCTTCCCTCATCTGCTTTGTACCTGGAGGGTAGGTAACGTAACGTTATCAAGAGATACCCAAAAAAATGCGGGTTGGGCTGCAAACGAAGTAGTATTAGCAATTGCTGAGGGGTGGTCTTATTAGCATCCGGCCGTATCCACATGACTCAGTCAGCCATTTTGGGTATTTTTTATTAATCATACGTCCATCACAGTATAATTTCACATCAAAGCATGGCGGTTATGGTTTCATTCACTGTCGGGCAAGGTTTCCTTATGGGGATCACGAAAATGGGGAAAGTCGGAGAACACTCGACAGGGGTAAGATCTGATAAAACTTTCAGTGGGGGCAATTGAATCGGTTGCGCCCCCGAGACTTCTTGACATGCAATTATTGGGAATGTTTCTCAGCTCTGAGAGAAGTTCAACGATGTTGACGAGATCGAAAATCATGACAGCGAGACCCATCACAGTCATTCAAAAAAAAGTCTTCCAGAAAGAAGCAGACCTCGAACCATCAAGGATGTTGTCAAGTGAACATGCCAGATGCTGCACAGAACACTTGCTATTCATTAATTTTTACTTTTTGTTCAAATTGTTCAATGGACCATTATAGACCACGCTAATTAAATGGAGCATCTAAATGAGAAGTGAGTCAAATCCTTGGAACAGCCAAGGCTGGTGAAAATTGAGTGAAAAGGGTGTTTTCAGTTACAACCGATATCTAATCAATAAATCTAATCAATCAGTCACGCGTTGGACAAGAATTTCCTCGTCAGATCTAATCAGATCTTTTTATCTCATCTCTACAGCCAATTTCAGGCAACAGAGCTGATCTCCTCCTTTTTCTCGCCTAACAGCAATGCGATCTTAGGCAGTTCAGAGGCCCAGTAAGCGTCAGAAATCTGAATGAAGTGGCATTCCCGTTACGTTTTCAAAATCTTAAAACCTCACGGAACGGAGGATCGTCGCGAGCTTCAAAAGATGCATCGATCCTAGTAGCATATGCTGTTGGTGCAGCTAAACGAAATTTACGAAGTTCAAAAACCCGGAGCTGTGGATCTTGTATGGAACGCAGGAAAATACGATCCATTCATCTAACAGACAGCCAACTGTCTCTAGTCTATAAGGGGAAATGGTTTTGCCTATACAGACCAATCATCGCAAGAGAAACTCTCTCAACAAAAGACTTATGTCAAAAGTGTCCTAAATTTCACCATACCCTTACAGTGTGGTCTGGAAGTACTGGCATCTTGACACTAATCACATTTTAGACCTGTCAAGATGTGATGGGTGATTATTTTCGGACGACTAACTCTTTTCATCTCTTGAAGTTGGAGGCTTTAGCCTGGCCCTCTTATCCACTCGATTCCGCTCTCTGTCAAGTTTAAATCCACCTGATTATACTCTCTTTTCTAAGATCGAATTTGGCCTGATTTGGAACACAAATCTAGATCGCCTACAGTCAGACTTTACGAAACAGCCTAGACTGTTACGGCTTCCAACTTGCCACTTTTGTGATCGTATGTGAATCTGAACGTGTTCTCAGCGAATCCTTCGTGTATAGTGATTTTCGCGAAGTATGGCGATATCATTAATGACCGACTGTTTGAGGCTGGATAGTTATTAGCTTGAAAAGTGAGCTCAGGAGAAGACTTCTAACTTATCAATTGCACCGAATGCCATATAATTGATTTCATGATGATGCTTAGTTGGCATACAAGCTCTGAGAGAATCGCGAATGTCCTCATTGGTGAAGTGGATAGCTCCACTGTCTGGAATTTAGTTAATTGAACTGTGTTTCAAATCAACGAGAAAGATGAACCTGTATGGTGTATCACCATGATTTTATCAAAATGTAGAGAATCATCTAGTGCATTGATATCTTTTAAGGCTGGCTCGATATGACGTCCAGCATTTCTTATAACCCCAACCCCATCTACAGAAGATTAGATGAGTGTCTTGAATTGAATTGAATGATCGTTAGTATACTTTCAAGTTGGATATTCAAGAACAATTCTGGCACAACACATGGGTCCATGCAAGTTAATAATGTTTCTGCCAACATATAAGAAGAAACAGAGGCCATTCAAATTATGATTCACCAACCATGACTCGTGTTGGTTCACTCCCTGTGGCCCCAAGTTCGGCCAAAGTAGGGATGTGCGTTTTCACACTGTCTTAGAGACATTTTCAATCGATGAGCGAGATAGCCGCAAGATTGGTGATACTCGCGAATTGACCAAAGATGCAATGTCCATCGCAAAGTATATTCTGATTGTGTTATGAAAATTGGGTTATTGCTCTGAAGATGGTATGCTCGTGGTTACGATTTCTTTGAGAGAGATCATATGCAGTATTCACAACTTTGTAATGAAGATTGAATCGTAACATTGTGCGGAACGTCCATCTATCTTCACGGCTTACAGGCTCGAACATATCATATCTTGTGCCAGCTAGCATGAACCAGCATCATCAAAATCTTCTTTCTTCGGGGAACTTTTTTCCTCGGTTTATGATGAGCAACATGAATAATTAAGCTTGGGGATACTGATATTCTTTCAAGTCTTGCACGTCCCGGAAAATGAATCCAAGGCGACAATTCGGAGACGCGGCTACGATAGGTTTTGCAATGCATTGTAATAAGTAAATGTTAATCTTGTGTTTTGTCACCACGACGATTCAATAACATCTGATTTTTGGAGTTTTTTGTGTACTTGTGCATCTTCATTACACTCGGTAGCCTCCCTTGAGGATGCTAAAATCAATCCCAAGTAGGTACCTGCCTTATCGTCGTTTACGTCAATATCGTTGGTTATACAGTAGTCTGATCGTTTATCCACAGTAGCAATTCTTATACCCCCGAGATATCCCACTTCTTTCATACACGGGGTGCTATTTGTTGCTTTTCCAAAGAGTTACTCGTAAAATCCGCTTCAATTTTAGGGTTTTCTGCTCGAATCAGAAGGCTCTGGGTCATTGGCATTTACCGCAGATCCAACGACCATGTAACAAGTTCCATTTACGTACCTAAACATATCATTGACAAACGCTCTTTACTTTAAACCCCCATTATTCATCTCTCCATCTTCCTGGAATAATAAGTATCACCCAATTTCCATGACTGCATATGAATATGCTTAAGGTTCTAGGTGCGAGCCGAAACGCAAGGATTCCGAAGCAAGTCAAGTCGCATTACGCACGCATTTTCTCATAGCAACATAAGCATCAATATGGTGTTCCCCAATCCAGACGATGTGAGTCTACAGATATAGCCACTATGGATAACCTGTATTTGTTTTTGAAGAAACAAAAGCCTTTGTACCCTTCCTATTCTCGATATGGTTGTTTCACATCAATCGATGTTAAATACGTCTTCTAGAACTTAATCAGCACGCCGAGGATAGAATGATATTGTCGGGAAAGGGAAGTTCTGATTAGGAGCAGGGCAACGTTGCACAATGAATGATTGTTACCACGATCAGCAATCGTTGATTTTACCATTCATCTATCACAGATGAATTTGCGATCTGGGATTCTACAATGTTTTTTCTTGTTCTATTTTTCGAGTTACTAGGGAGACCAATCATCCTTCCAGCATGCTGTGCATCATCAGCTGGAGGAACGCAGTCAGACCGACGATCGAAAATGGAGCTAAGAATTTTTAAGATGGTAGTACACTGGACTGCTTTCCCGCATGAGAATAATACGCTTTACCCCTTCTACACTGTTATTTCTGCTGTTTTCGAATTGTGGTCCTGGGATTTAGATATGTTATAAAATTGGGTAACTTATGCAAAGTGAGTGTAAGCGATGCAGTCTAAGCGGGATACTCTTTTATACACTATGCATTCGAGTAAATAAACGCAAGAGAGCAGATTCCCAAAAGGCAGTGAGATATCGAGATTTGGCGAGTCATCGCTCTATATCTCTTGCAAGCAGAAACTCGAAAAATCAGACTTTTATCAGTACACCAGTACTCCGTTCACCATCCATGGGGAGACGAACTATCCATCTGCGTTTCCCCCATGGTTTTGGAGACTTCACTTCAATGATTGATCGACCTCTGATCTTCTAGATATCGAAGAATGCACCTCGTCGCCACTTCTTGACTAAGCCCTGCATACCAGACATATGATTTAAATACACTTCAACGTCATATTTCGATCCCTCACTGCCAAGTACGTAGGCTTCCTCTTCGCCCAAGAACTGAATATAAGTGCGCCTGCCTATACCAAAATAGAGCTCTGAGAAAGGTATCCCAATCAATATGTATCCATAGTTGAAACTGTGTATTGCAGAAAGCCAGGCGGAAAGTATCACTTTCCTGATATCCTGATATCTGAGATTCCACGTTTTTGGGTTAGAATGTCATAAGATAGAAAGGAGCTATATCATGATATGTCATCGATACATCAATACGAAGAGTCAAATAAACAGAGAGGAGATTGACGAAGGAGGAACCAATCCATACCGCTATCCACAATGTTAGTCAAACTATCATTCACCCACTTCGACTTCTGAATTTTGAGCTCGTGAAGATTCTGCCGCGACTGCGAGAAATTATGCCAAAGCTCCAAATTCTACTGTCGAAGATAAGATTTAAGTGGGAAAAAATAAGCAAAGTTTCATTATTCAGAGGCGCGAGAATCAAAGCTAGTGTATAGTAACTCAACTGCTTTCTTCCAATGCAGTAGCTACTCCCTCGATATTCTCACCAAATGATCTCCTCTCCCCTCGAAACGCCCTACTCCCAACCCACTACATCCCCACGCATCACCCTCCAACTCCCCCTTCTCCCCATACCCTTTCTTTACAAACTCGACATCCTCCGCACAAGCGACTAAGTCCCCCGAGCCCTCTAGCTAAACCACATAGATCCATCACCCCTTTAACACTGCGTCATTTATTGCATTACAGAAACCGCAAGTTTCCACGACGGATCACGAACGCACGCTCTTCATGGGTCATGTCCTACGAGACCCGGATATCTCGACGTGTTTATCAAAAGGGGCGAAATATTCTTCCTTGGAAGAGAAGGTTGTAACTGGGGTTGCGCAAGATGGCGGATTTGTTTTACTTTCTGCGACGGATACTTGGGGTGGCGATGGAGATTAAGGGTTGCAAGGTGGATTTGGGGAACAGGATAGGAAGAAGTGACTTCGGGGATTGATGAACCAACTTGTGAAGAAGGGAGCGTGTGAAGAAGGGAGCGTGTGAAGAAGGGAGCGTGTGAAGAAGGGAGCGTGTGAAGAAGGGAGCGTGTGAAGAAGGGAGCGTGTGAAGAAGGGAGCGTGTGAAGAAGGGAGCGTGTGAAGAAGGGAGCGTGTGAAGAAGGGAGCGTGTGAAGAAGGGAGCGTGTGAGTTTTGGGATGAAAGTGTGGATTTTTTTCACATTTGACTGGAGTATTCGATCATGGTAAGAATGGATATAAAGAGTAGTGTTGCATTTTATACAGGCGACCCTCTCAATCCCCGTGGGAATACGAGGGGTAGAAGTCCGCGAAGACTTTATTCAGCTTGCCATTCTCGAATATGTGACCAGCGCAGATATCTCACTAATAGGAAACGGAGAGGGCTATAAACCTCGAAATGTGATGTTTATTTCCTGACATATATGCGGGTAATTCAGATTCCATTTTCTCTTTACTATCCGGGCAAAATAATCACTGATCCAAGCTCCTTCTAACTATCTAGTATACTATCCCATAGCACAATCAAGTCTAAAAAAACATAACTTTCATTCCCAATTCTCTATCCGATATCGTCCGATACAATCCGCTAAAACTCCTAGGTATCTATCTAAATTTCAAAAGTCCATCTCCAAGTTTCCGAATCCCAATGGTATCTGCCCTCCCAAGTTCTTTCCAAAAGATGCCAGCTGGCCTGCTATGATTGCTATAAAGCTTTTATACCAAATCCATACCTCCCAATCCAAGATATTCTACGTGAACAAGTCCTATAACCAAAACCCAAAAATATAAAAACAACACTTTTTCTACTCTGTTCATCTGCGAAATGACCCTCCCCCTCCCCCTTGATCCTTCTCTCAATTCTTTTATCGCCAGCCTAACCTTGTAGGTTGACATCTATCTATTTGATAAAGAGCATGCAAAATCCAGGGCTTGTAATATTTTCACAATGTAATTCAAAGAGACAGACTGGTACTGTCGACTCTGAGACACTGATTCCTGGCACTGGCATAAAGGAAAGATCCTTATGGCTGGCTCCTTGGCTCCTTAATTCTGGGGTATGTATGCATGACTGGCTCCATGACTTTCTATTCTGTCGAATATTGCAATGTCCTGGGATTTCCTGACGGGATTGTCTGAGCGGGCTGGGTCCGCTTTGTTGTTTTCCTTGAGGGGAAATATCATTGGAGATAACTCGGCGTAGGTAGCTAACGAAGAAATGTTAATTAAACGGTCCCATTGAAGTAGTTAAAAATATAAAGTTCGCTTACAATAATTCTCAATATGTTAAAGTGAATAATTCACTCAACCCATGGATCCATGGCTGAAGGTACGGCTCATGGCTGGAGATGCTTGATTGATCTTTTGAAGAGTCTGCGCCATCATCTTGATGCAGTCACTGGCATTTCTCAAGTTGGTCATTCCGTTGGCACTCTTGGGATCATGCAATTGCTTAACAGCCTCCTGGAGTCGTTGTTCACTTTGGTGGTAAATTTCAATCAAAGAAGGTTGCTGGTTAACAACTGGAGACTTGACTCTCTTGACTGGTTCCTTATCCGAGGTACTTGGTTCCGTGATGGCATCCTGCTTACGCTTCTTGGAGCCAGTGGCTGGCTTCTCAGTAGGTGGTGGAGAACCACCGGCACTCCTGGATGTGCATGGGTCATTGTGTACGCGCTTCATGTGGTCATAAAGATTCCAGCGACGTGGGAAACCATTGCCAGTAACGCCGCGCTCGCATCCGTCATACTTGCAAAGGAAGGGCTTATCCCCATGTCCGTGCATGGCGTGGGCTTCTCTCTCGTGGCGGAGTAAGCATGCTGTGGAGGAGAATTTGTTGTCTGCACATGCAGCGATCTTGCAACGGTATGGCTTCAAGTGAGAGTCGACGAATTTGCTGTAGCGAAAATTGATTAGCTTGTTGTACGGGCTTAAAAGGGGTACATGAGTCCTACTCGTAATTGCACTTAAGCTTCTCTGGCTTGTGTTGGCATGATGCGTTTCCTTCCCATGGGCAGTGGTATAATCCATCGGATTGAGTCGTCACATTATGGTACAAATGATGATCACGTGCTGAGTTATCAGCATCGAGACTGGAGCGTCCCATCAACTTGAAGGACTCCTCTGTCTCAGTTCCAAGGACACGTCTGGAATTCGTGTCACTAGCTACTTTGGAAGCTCTAGGTCCCATTGGCTTCCTTATAGTCCTGTCGCCGATCTTGTAAGGAGGTGAATCCACGAAATCTGGAAGGCCTTGAACATACCTTGGTGATCGGCCTTCGGTTGGGGAGTAGTCCAATGGGCTATTTGTCGAAGACATCATTTGTGGTGGCAGAGCCCATGAATCCTCGGCAATAGGTGTGTGTGGTTTAGAAGATTCAAGTAAAGCAGTCTCCCACATATCTGGAGATCCCAAGACAGGGCTTTCGAAGAAAACTGAATCTTGTGCGCTGTGAACATAACTGGAAATAGAGCTTGGAGCTGCTGTCATACTTGTAGGTAATCCATGGGCACTGGAAAACATGTCAAATCCTCCTGTTGTCAACGACAAAGTTGGTGGCTGCTGGAATCCACTGGTAACTGGTACGTGGTAATCATTTCCGGCTGATTCATCTCCTCCTGGGTACTGGAAATTGTCGAATGCAGATTGAAAATCAAATTGTGCTGTTGGAGTATATAGAAGAGTGTTGGCTGGACTAGTTGATCTACCTGTAACATCTGATCTTGCAGATGCCATTTGATATTGTGCCTGAGAAGCATTGGGCAAGTATCCCATTTGCATAGACTCAGTTGTTGATGTTGACTGAGTTGTCCTTGATGAATCCTTGGATGGAAAGCGGGTCATTTCCTCTGACTCAAGACCTGAAGTCAAATCGGCGGGCCACCGTTGACTTGTCATATGAGCCACTGGGATATAAAGAGAAGAATCAGAAAATCCATTGGGTCCTTGGGAAGTAGATTCACGAGGTGAGTACTGTAAACCCTCACTTTTTCCGTTCCAGGATAATCCACTGTATTGTCCCTTGGTAGGTTCTGTATGACGCAAAGAAAATCCAGTTGTTCCTTGGAATGGAGTTCTTGAGTGAAAACCGCTACACAAGATCTAGGTTAGTATGATGTACATATACAGGTGGAACAGTTACAATTGCAGTAAAACAGAAACAACAAAAAAAGAAATGTAAAGCAAAATAACAGCATCCAGCGAGGTTCCTGCAGCAAGACGTTAGTTGTGAAAATCTCATGTATAAAGGGGGGAATCTACAGACCAGGTGGAATTTGGCGTGATAAGTGTAGTCGAGACGGTGATAAGAATCCAGGGAGAGTGATTGAAACATCCAGGGCAATAAATATAAACAAATGAGAAAAGGCGATATGTCCTCGGAGTCCTTGGCATCCTTGGGTTGGCCTTGCTTGATACGTTGTTGTGTCCATGTGATGTTCTGGTGAATATAAATCCTTCTGCTCAACGAAAACAACGTACTGTTAGTGGATACTCGATTGTGTTATAAAGGGGGTTTGTTGTCAGACTTGTAGTCAACATTGAGTAGGTTACGTACTCAGTGGCATAATTGATGCCCGATGCTTGATAGAGCACGGTGACTGGCTGGAATAGCCAGTCGCTTCCATTGTGGTCTTTTGGAGTGTCGTCTCAGGAATTGGTTCCATGTGCGGCAGTTAAAAAAGAAAAATTAATCCACGGTGTCCATTGTGGTAAACGTTGTTGAAACCGACATGCTACAAAGTTGTTGTGGGAACCCCATGCATGGAAGCTGCATTAAGAAACCACCGCTCGCATGAAAGATGGATGTTTGTCGCCATGTTATCCTGTAGCACATAGTTTGGCCCTGGAAGCTGAGTGCGTGTTCGTATTGATAAGCTGATAGGTGTTATGATGTGCTCGCAGGATATGCGAGCCCACATCTGGGAACTTCGGCTGATGGGTCTCTGGCTTCGGGTATATAAACGGCTAACAGGCTACCATGAAAGAAATCAGGTGTTTTGGGTCCATTGGAAATTCGGCTCCTTCCGGTATGTATAAAGAGAAATTGCAGTCTGAGTTCCATTTGAAGTCGATATACTCACCAAAGACCGGAGGTCTTTTGATTAATAGTTCATATTTTTGATTTTCAGAGTGCTCTTGAAACCTCCAAAGAGGTAAAAAGCATGCTCTCGTCGTGTGGATACACGGTAAGACCATCGAAAATCCTATGGGTTCCTGGGAAGCTTGGGAAAGCTGGATATGTGCCTGGAAAAGTCCTTGGAAGTCCGGTATCATTGGAAATGTTGTGTTGCGAAACAAAAAAGTACATGATTTTTCTGGGAAACAAAGACATCCGGGATTCTAGCAGTAAAAGCAAACGCAAACTCAACGCAAAGCAAAAACACGCAAAATAGAAAAAAACAATATACCTGGCGGATGCCTTCCTGGAATGTGATTGTGTATCGAAGCCTGCCATGGTTTCCGGGAGAAGGGTCAAGGTCTCCGTGCAAGTCATTTGGGATCCTTTTTGAAGCAACGGCAATGTGCTTTGTCGAATATGTTGAGGAACTATGTGTTGAAGACACTACTCTTATGGCCACGGCCTTGTGGTATGAGCAGGACAAGATAACTGATGTTGGTGATAAGAACAGTCCGGCTGGATGATCTCTGTTGGGTATGTTTGCAATAGAAGAGAAAGCAGAAACAAGTTGGGCAGCTTTTCGGGGGAAGATCCGCAATATACAAGAACTGGAGTAGGGGGGTGGTGAATGTATGGACCTGAGTGACAGAGAAAGAGGCTGACTGAGATGCGAGCAAGGTAAAGGATGAATGAGAATGGAAAGAAAAGAAGAGTTCGTCCAAGGTGGGGAGGTTGGGCACTTATGCTTTTCAATGGTAACCAAAATGAGGAGACAAGGTCAGAAACGCACGAAGCGAACAAAAACCAAGGATATTTGACATTAATGAAATGTGTGAAAGAACCAGGGTGATTGATTTGTCGACGAGGATACTCCTGCCATGTGAGACATTGATGCGTTGTCTCTTTTCAAAAATTGCTTGCCTCGTTTGAATTAGCCACCACTTGATATGACTGGTTGGGTGAGGGCAATGGGTCACCCTTTCACGACTCATAAGAGAATTATACCTTGTTCTTTGGATATTCAAATAGAATTCTGCCCTGTAATCAATCCTGGCATTTGTTCTATTCATCTCGAAATAAATATGGACCATTTGTATGATTGACTACATGACCCCTCTCTCGACCAGGTTTTGTATGGATGGAATGAATGGAAACTGCAGCAGATTGACTATACGATACGCATTTAGCCTAAGAACTATGTGAAGTCACGACCAAATTTCAAAGTAACTTTCCGTACTTGCTCAAGGATAGCTAGAGAATGGAATGACGACGTCTACCTACCTCCTGTTAACGGAATCTTGAAATGTGATGGATTCCAGGAAACGTGCATTGCATAATTACTTTGGTACCAAGAACTGTGGCATTCAAGTGTCTTTTTTAACTTTTTGCAAATGAAATAGAAGGAAACCAAGCCGCATTCAGTAAACATGAAGCTATGAGCAGGATTGCAATCCTTATCACGGAAGGGAAAGGAATCCACTTCCCGTTCAATTTCTCTTAAACTCTCCAACTTCCCGAAAAGATTATGCAGATTCAGGGTTATGAACCTCTCAGCCCTCATTCATTCGACAAGAATCCAAGTCAAGAAAAAGGTGTGTATCATAATAATCAAACGGCACGGAGTCTGTCTCCAATAATAGGTCCATGTCTCCTCTCCGCAGCCTTATCAAATGTTGGAAGCGATTATCAAGCGTCAGAAACAAGAAGGTAACATTATTGATAACAATTTCGGCATTCTTTCTCTGAGAGGGGGAGGCGGGAGACAAGAAAAGGAGAAATCGAGGAAATTCCGAAAAGCCATGGGGGATAAAGTCAATTGTCGGTATTTGGTATCGTTGTGCCCTGAAACACATGGAAATCAATCGAATACGGAGTACATGCGCGCACTTCACTTGTCTATCAATGTCTGAACGCCATGTGCTGAAGGGTTTTCATTTGATTAAATTGGAGATCTTTTACTCCAAAGAGCCACTTCAACGCGAGATCATTCAGGGGTTCGAAACTCTAAATTCAAAGAGATTGAAAATCATGAATTCATCATCATGCATTCCGTAATTTCCATTATTATTCCTTTCTTCTTCGTACCGTAGCTCGAGAGTGGCTCGGTGGTACATCACTT